AGAGTATCTGTCACGTATTTGTTGAGTGCTTTTGGATCGTGTGATTTAGCCCCATGTGGCAACATTGAATTATTGAATCAGTATATTAATTCGTCTTTGTGACACATGTCCCTGTTAACGGGTATGGTGCTCTGCTAGACTGCAGGTTGTTTATAAGTACATGAAAAGTAGATATTGTAAGGAGTTTGGTACTATTATTTACAATAAAACTTTTGATGAGTTGCATAAACACAGCGGCAAACTCTTTGTTCTTCTGAATAAAATTACAATACAATATTTTCCCCAAAATAGTAAACACCCACTGGCATGTTTCAAACAGTATCTGAAAAATGTTTGTACTACTATGTGATTTATTGTATGTTTGTTTGTTTGTTTTTTGTTTGTTGTTTAACGCAATATTTCTGCAAAATGACGGCGGTGTGTTAATAATCGAGTCTGGACAAGACAATCCAGGAATTGACATCATGAGCATCGTTCTACACAAATGAGATACGATGACATCAACCAAGTCAGCGAGCCTCACCACAAGATCCCGCTAGTCCCCTTTTACGACAAGCACGGTTTGCTGAAGATCTATTCTAAGCCGGATCTTCCCGGGTGTACTCTGTGATTTAGCAGAGGCGGATCCTGGAGGGTTTAAATGAGGAGGGTCCAAATACACTACAATTTTGTAGTGTCACAGTCATGTTGATTCGAACTCTGGCAACTGCATATATAAACAATTCTACAAAGCTGCTACACGCGATTTGAGAAATTAGGCACCTGCCATTTATTACAGAAAGGGGACGAGGTGGAAGAGGTGGGATTGCAGTCACAGGTTTTTAAACACTAATGTACTGAAAATAATGATCCTCCCCAATGCTTGTAATATTTTTCGATGACCCTCCACATGTCCTTGTACATTTTGTTCATGACCCCCATGAAAAAGACATAATGCAAAATCACTTTATGTTTTATTAAACAATGTCATTTTTTTCATAACCCTCCCCATATATGTGTATTCGTTTTTATGACCCTCCCCTAAAGACTGTCAGATTTTTGGTGACTCTCCTCTTATTCCCTCTGACCCGCCCCTCCTTTACCAAACCACAGGTCCCTTCATTCTCAATAGTTTTACTTTTCCCATCATGGAACGTGGCGCTTTAGATGCCAACTTACCAAGCAACAATCAGTGTTAGAGGTCAACAGTGACAGTGATGTGACTACATGGAATTATTCCGATTCCGACATGATAGAATAAGATCAAGGTAGTGAATGAACTGTTCATGGCAAAGTCCTCTCTCGTAGTGGGAATCCAACTGATGTGTTATTTCGCACTCAAGCGCAAAGTAGAAATTGAAAGTCGAATAAGTATATGTCGTTGACTTCGCATTCACTGGAGTCTATTTTCGTCTGATGTTATGAAGTTGGGCCATGAAGAACATTCACTTGATAAAGTCATTGTTCTCCATAGTCATCAAAACTTTTGATGTTTAACCGAGAAAATGACTGTCCAGCTGATTCAGTAATAGCTTTCTCATGAAGGAAATTTATGTTCGTGGCAGTTTTAATATTATGACTTTCCACCACGGCATTGATTAATGATTGAATTTGATAGGTAAAAAAGTTGTATAAATTTTATAATTGATACCTCTATTAAATCAAGACTTTTCCTACAAAACCTCTGCATACGAATACACCGATAGAGTTCATATCGATCCATACATATACGGCTGCCGATCTCCCACCGGAGCGCTTACGGATGTTTGGGACGACGACGATTTTGAGATCAAATCGATACATTATTAACAATGGTACGTGTTCGCAAACAAGCGGTAACGTTCATACGGATATGCTCTCTCATTGCAACACACGATAATAAACGTGAAAAGGAAACATTGGAAAAATGTAACATAACCCTTTATTCATGGCATTTTGTTACGTATATTCGAAATAAGTACATTTAACCTATAATGCATTTACTTACACGAGGGCCCGACACTGTCTTGACAGAAGCGACTAGGCCTACACTGGCTACCGAGACAGTCCGGGTAACACTTGACAATTCATCTTTCAAACGCATCCTACTTCTCGGTTTCGAAATTATTTGTTTTAGATGGAAGCTTGAAAACTCAATACGCCGCTTCCAATTTCTAACTCAAGTACACAATTTTATGGGATGATTAATATGCCCCAATCTGTCACCATCTCTCACCATCTGTCACCAAGCTAGCATGCAGTAACGTACATTTATGGAGCAACGCAGACGCACATCAAGTTAAAGGACAGTTGTTACATTTTATGCGTGCGGACAGGCAAGTTTTAATATAAATCCATACTTTAAATTAAGCACAGGTTTTTACTAAAACTGTTAAATTGAAAACTGTATTACAGGATCATATACACACTGGTTTTCAGGTACACTACCCGTGTTAAACCCGGCTTTTCTCTCCCTCAAAAGGTATGTCATAGTGTTCTAGTGGTTGTTCTTGCTACATTAAGAAACGGTGCATCATGGTTCATGTTTTCATGAACATGTTAGATATTAGCATAAGTGTGCTATACAGATTATTCGTAATTTCACGTTTATTACACATGCCACAGTTTAACATGGATACCCCACTAAGACACAGAAAATGAATCCGAGGCGACCAGTTCTTGTTCTTTCCAATTAATATTGAGTGCCAGGCAAGGAAAAAACGAGTGCCATCTTTTAATGGTCTCAAGGCGGGCTCTCTATCCAATAGATCAGGGAATCGTTCGAGTAAGGTAAGTAGCGGCAGGGATTAAGTGAAAAAGTTATTCAGCTGGTGTCCCACGATCATATATATTCATTCCTGTAGATACAATCAATATATACAAACGCGCCGATAGCCAGATGTGTGGCTGAAAGGAATTATCACAGATAATAAGGTATTTAAAAATCAATATAGTTTGATTAAATCTTATAGTTTCGTGACCAGGGAGTGATATGGTGTAGTATGTTGATCGGTATATTTTTGTCCTGACAAATAAGGTTTTGCAGAAAGCATCAAAAAGGAATTAACTCAAATAAAACAAGAAAGAACTGTCATGTAAGCATTGATTACAGTGTTGGTTAAATGCACTTGGTCACATTTCTGCTGGGGATTATGGCAGTTTTTCTTTGCAGAATTATGAATTTGAATTTTTTTATTATTCTCATATTTGGTGTATCTAAAACGGTATGTAAAACGGCATACCCCTGAAACATATGTCGTCTTTAATTAAGATTCTCACCAAGAAATATGTTTTTACCTCCATTTGTTTTGAAAAAAAGGTTAAATTTGTTAATGGAGTGGATAAACAGACTGATTTAGTTCACGGTTCATAACTTCCAAAGTATTTAAGTTTCACACACACATATATATATATATATATATATATATATATATATATATATATATATATATATATATATATATATATATATATATATGTAGCCTACTTGACATGGATTATGATCAAATGATCAAACAGTACATTTGGCTTAAACTTGTTGATACAACCTATCTTGCTTAAGTTTAATGAAAAGGCATATTATATTTTTTTAAATGTTCAGTATACACTTGGGAACATGGGTTCGTATCTTCCTTTTTTGTCAACCCCCTCTCAAGCCAACCCACCCTTCTTCCAAAATACCTGAAACGCTCCTGATCATTTTTAAGTATGAACAATTTGATACTTGCCTCAAGTACACCTTCACTAAAACAAGTAATGGCACGTGATCAACCCCCGGCAGGCACTGCGCACGCATAAATGAAATGTGTCAATCATCAGATTAGTGTAATGAGTTGGCAAAAAGCGGTAAGCTAACCACGCGTACTACCAATAGAACCAGTTGAGAGCAATTGCCCTTCGTAAACAAGAATGTAGGCCGTAAACCCCCATGTTTCTCATTTTAGAAAGAGGGGCGGTGGGGGAGTCAAGTGGTTAAAGCATTCGCTCGTCACACACAAGACCCGGGTTCAATTCCCCACATGGATCCATTGTGTGAAGCTCATTTCGGGGAATCCCCCGCCGTGATAGTGCGGGAATTTTGATAAAAGAGGCATAAAACCATACTCACTCACCCACGCACCAAGTTTAAAGGACAAACGCCTCCGTAGTTTTAGATTTTGCAATTTATGAAATATAGAGTTGAAAATTGGCAGAACATTCGAGATTTTAAGGTTTCTATCTCCTAAAACATGTTACCGAAGTGGGAAGTGAGACGCGATGTAGAGCGTAGAGCATTCAATCTTTCCGAAACGGTGTACGGAAGTAAGAAGTTGGAAGCTTTTAAGCTTCTATTTTTCACAACTAAACTTAGAAAGAAACTTTTTGAAGTGTCACCCGGACCGAGACAATGACGTCTTCTGGTGCCGACAGTCGCCATTTCGTCACCCTCAACACCGGTGTAAATAGTCTCAGATTCGAAGGCACAATGCACCTATAAAAAAAAATAGTGCCCGAAATGATGCAATCGGTTTCAGAACACGCACAATAAAGCAAAAGATACACGAACCACCGTGTCAGAGCCAAAGCAGTCACATTTCATGCACATGCTGGCGTCGAATGCCATGAAATCATGAAACTGGCAGGCCACAATCCTTCATGTTATACTATGACGACTCGTCTTCAGGCTGGTTCCAATGGCAATAATGTTCGACCAGCTGGTATCTTACCAGTAAATCAACATGTTAATGTTGAGCAGCAGTTCTGGATTGTGTTCTGGTTCTTTTTTGTTGCAATATTTTAAAAACCACGGTGACTGTGACAATTATTTTGGAAGCCACTGACTGTTTAATGACAAATTCCTTGGAAAGAGGTCAAGTTTAACCACTTCCAAATTCAGGGATTGAGGGGGTCATTATTTTGTATTTATATACTTTACTTGGGGAAATTCTTATCTAGCTAATAAAATCAGTACAAATATGTTATTTAACTTGTTGTAACTGGCTTTGGGGTTCCCAATATACCATTTAGCAGCTACCTACCTATTGCCGTTCCGTGCCACCTTTGCCATTGCTAGTATGCAACTCAGATGACAGTGATAGGTTATCTAAGTTTGAAAGGAATGCGTCCTTGGACCGTAGCTCCTAATAACCTACATTGACATCCACACGGGATTTAAGCAACACCAGGTTTGATACTCATAAACACTGCACTTATGGCACTGCAATCCACCCCAGAATACACAACTTACTGGACAGGATAGGCTCGTTAAAGTATGGACAACCTGAGACGACCAGGCATCGAATCGATCTCAAAACCGCTAAGCCCTCACTACTGGCTTTACCATCAGAAGCTCTTCTTGGGGTGTTCGTACCTGGTTTGCCTATCACATGTCCTGACATTCCATTTTGATTTTTTTTAAACATATCAGACCGTGATCAAATGTTGTTTGTGTGGTGATCCGATGATTCATGATCACTCAGTGACTGGTGTCATCATGGGTTGCGACTTGTATCCAATGTTTCCAGATTCTGAAACACTTTACAGAAAAGCAAGCACAGCATATGAAGCTATCCATAGCATAGCCGCTATTTTGGACCTCGATCTTCGTGTAAGGGGCCATCTCAATAGGTGAAGGAGAAGGTGAAGGTGAGGGTGAAGTGAATTGGTACAAATTACCCAGTTAGTGATAGGAATCTTATTTTGATGATGTATTAACTCAAAGCACAAAGGTTGATTTTTGTGCAAATCCTCCCAGTAATGCAAAAGGTTTTAAGAGCATTCTCTTGAAATCAAACAAACTCAGTCTTCCCGGGAAAAGCAAAAAACTAAGAGTTTTAAATTCTTGAATAGAAAGAGGCCATAATGCCTGAATAATATGCAAACATTTATGAAAAAAAATATATTGAACCGTATACACGTTATGTTCCTGAAACCTACATTTAAATCATGCATGTTTTGTCTTGGAAGGGCAAGATCATTTATAGAAATATAACAGGAGCGGTCCCAACCCATCTTTTTCAGAATGCCTCCAAGCTCCTCTATCAGAATCCCGAGTGAGTGAGTTGTCTATTATAACGTCGCTTTGAACTGGGTTACAGTACTCCAATTATATCACGACGTGGCAGCTTCATGAGGGAGGAAACCTATCTCAGACGTTTAGCACTTTTGTGAAACCCACGAGCACGGGTATGGTGCTGACAAACCTAGAAGCAAAATGGAGGCATATACCATCATTTTCATAAACCATGAACAATTTGGACTATACCAAGACAGGTGACAGATGCCATTGTCTAATGCAGTACACCATAATGTTATGCCTCTACATCTACTATCCTAAAGTGAAGTTTTAAAGCATTCCCTGTTAAATGGCATCCCTTTTGGTTCATGTATCGTCAAATTCAAGTTGTAAATGCTCAAGATTTTGTGCACCTAGGCTTTTTAGTATGTCTGTTTCACACGTGCTGACATTGACCTCAGTTTGGAAATGATGTGATCTTTCATGAATTAACCCAAAATTCCCTCCTGAAAAACCGCGATGTTTCATAATGTGTCCGATAGTAACCTTGACTTGAGGAGGAGGTTATACAAAAGTTGATGCAATCGAGGCAGTGCCCTTGAGATGATTCATGAAAGTTAGATCAATTTTCACAAATACAATTATCGTGCACACAAGGTGTTTAGATGCCTAATTAATATTGAGTGACTTGATCTTCAGCTCCATCCAATTCCATGCAAGAACATTACAATGTATTACTCATATTACCTCAAATATCACATACGAACATGTATCTCTTTCAAGCAGGTAATTATGAAGTTCAAACGATGGAGGTTATTGATGCTGGGTCTCTGCCTTTCACTGTGGCAAGTGACTCGAATGGCATTCTCAGCGAATATAATGAAATCAGCAAGTATTTGTTTTCCGTTGGATATGTACATGTATCTCTTTCCAGCGGGGCACGGGTGGCCCAGTCGTCTAAGGTGCCGCGATTGACGCGATCCTTGGGCACGCCTGAAACCTATGATTGTGGGTTCGAATCCCGGTTCATCCCGATTATGTTTCTAGGTTTGTCAGCACCATACCCGTGCTCGTGGGTTTCACCGAAGTGGCAAACGTCTGAGACCTGCATCACTTCGGGCTTTCCTCCCACATTAAGCTGACACGCCGTGATATAACTGGAATACTGTTAAATGTGGCGTTAAACCCCAACTCACTCACTCACTCACTCACTCACTCACTCACTCACTCTTTCCAGCAAGTCACGATGAAGTTCAAGTTATGGATGTTAGTCATAATGGTTCTTTGTGTTTCACTGTGGCTTGTGACTCGGCATGGCATTCCAAGCGAATATAATGAAATCAGCAAGCACCCGTTTTCACATGGATATGTACCAGAATCAAACAGAGTAGACGACACGTCAGTGAAACTTGGCATTCAGTGTGTGGGAGCAGGACCAATTGAGGCAGAAGATCTGTTCTGTATGGCATGTAAAGGGTTTGCTTCGTTACTGCAATCACATGAGGAAACGTGTCGATGTTAAGAATTATGAGTTGTTTTGTACACCACATTGTCCACTTTCGCCATTATTGGCAATGTCACCATAGAAATTAGTGCGTGAGTGAGTGAGTGAGTTAAGTTTTAAGTCACATCGGCAATATTTCAGCCATATCGTGACTATCAAGGGTTAAATATAATACCCATAGAAATTATATTATCAAAATCTTTGATATATACATTTTACACGAATGTATTTTACCATACAATATTCTTAAGAGTATTACCTTGAGTTCATACTGTCTTCTCACACAATTAACAGTTGCATTCTTATTTAAGAGCTAAGTAATGTTTCTTTCCGGACAATGTCTCAAAATCAAGAAACTTTTGGCACACACATTGAACGTTAATTGAAGAGATGTATTTCTCTACCGGCTATATAAAGGACATTTAATGGCGGTTGTCAAATCATTGGTAGCGTGGTTAGAAATTAGAAGTTATGTTATCACTCCAAGCCCTTTTGATAGATAACATTTAATAGTCGAAATAAAGAGCAGTTGGTGATTTAGAAGAAAATCTTGTTGATAGGCCGAAGAAGTGTATGTTTCAGATTTGCAATGTTACTGGGTTTTCAATGTTCACAGTGTAATGTGCTGTGAGTCAACGAAGAGGATACCGCCTTTTGTGTTACAAAACATAAATGAAGTGCTGTTTTTTAATACTGAGTCTTATATCACAGGAAAGACCCCAATATCTGCCAGACTTTAAGAACCCCTGCTGGTTCGCAAAAGAAGACGGGAAGTTACGCCTCAAGTGTGTGCCTTACTTCCATCTTCTGGGTGTGTGCAAGTCGGGGACCACCGACCTCGCCTACCGCATAAGGGCCCATGAAGACGTGCTCGAATGCAATGATTGTCGCGGAAAGAAGGAATGTTTTTACTGGTGCCGCAGAAGATATGGTAATGAATCTATACTAATGATGTCATTACGTTAATACCACTGTAATTGTGTATGGATGAGTGAACGACTGAAAAAGATTTTAAGCACACTTACAAATGGGTAGTTACAGTATTCCAAGTCTATTTGCTCCCTCCTCAACTCAAATGTTGATATGGTCGTGTGCACACACTGTATTTATACCAGGTAGTTATGGGACAAGAATTATGCACACAGTGGTTGGATCCCGTTGGTCACCTTTTACGGCAAGCATGGGTTGCTGGAGATCAATACTACCCCGAAATATTCCGGGTCTACGAGCACAGTGGATACTCTGTTAGAAGTGATACTTCGTAGCAGTAAATAAAACAAAGTTGAAAGTGGTGCCCTTAAATGATCAATAAGGGGACATATAATAGGTACATACTATGTGTGTACATGTTTAATCCAAGCGTATTTCGAAATATAATGTACCATAGAGAACATGGTTTTACACCAAAGACAAATGTCAGAGGAAGAATAATCAGTAAAGAATATTTCCATTATGTTCGTTGCACAAGATAGAGCAGTAATTCACATGAAGAGTTACATATTGGTATACTGGTTTTACTGGCATACTTTATTCGTATTTTGCATGTCGTGATCCACAACACTCAGTATGAATTGAAGTGTAAACTTAATTTCAAAACGAAAGTGCAAAAGAACAAACCCTAAGCCATTTTTAAATCACCCTGCATAAATATGTCGGAGATACACAAATATTTATGACCATGTTCTCACAATGTATTGCTCCCTCATTTATTGCACATATAACTCCTTTTCTAGTCTGTCCTCCACAACCTAGAGAATACAAAGGCGCCCAACCCATGCCTAGATTGCCTCAGCTCTAGGAAATTAAACATTTCCTGGATTCCATTTAGATTATAGTTTTCTTTTGTGTATATATGTATTTTTGAAGATTATTTCTGAGACAAAATGTTAGACTACCCTTTGTCAATTAACGAACACACTTGCGACCTGAACCAGGACCCATGAGGCCAACATTGTAAAGTCACATTGCATGGATGGGAACTGAATTGATCACAGTTAATAAAACGTGTGTAACCAATTGGCTTCAAGATGCACATAACTAACTGATAATTAAGTAACGAAATAAAACTAGATGATTTGACCTTCATTAGGCCTATCTAAATTTATTGTGCTTAGGATCAACGAAAAATCCAACAAACATATTCCACAAACCTCAGTTTGAGCATCAGGGACCACTTGCACAAACCGATCTTAGCGCTAAGATGATCGTAACTCTCATACTTTAACATAGGCTTACAATAGTCTTAGCACTAAGATCGCTTTGTGCAAGTGGGCCCAAGTCTACATGTGTCCCATGTATTGTTTGTTTGGTGGATTTGGGTACCTTCGCGCACAAGTTTAAAAACGCAATCTGGCATCACGTCCTGTTTTGTCCACACCAACACTTCATCTGCTGCTACGTTTAATATCCCTTTCTTCAATTCCAAGTATCTGGGATCTCTCCAAACACTTCGTCTATTCAACTCAGTCCAGAAGTATTTGTGGCACTGTTTTCGAATCAACGAATTTCTGCATCTCGGAGGGACAACATTCCCTAACCACGATTGCCTGCGCATGGTTGACAAAGTATATATTCCAGAGAAGGACTCTCTGTGATGACGCCGTTTCTGTATTAAATTGTTGAAGTCAATTGACCAGGAAGATTGTCGAGACACTGACATTATGGCAGATGCTCGTCATTGATTGAGAATGCACTTTTGCCTTGAGCTCCAAGAACAGAAAATGTGTACATACCGAAGTAGTTGCAAGAGATCCGTGTAGAGAGCAACTTGAATAATCGTGATGAAAATATTGCTGAAGTCAATGTTCACGCGCATGACAGAATTAGTGTGAACAATTTCTTATCTGAACATCGTTTCGAAGTATGTAAGGCTGTCCGTGTTTTATCCGAGATCCCCATCTCAATTCTGTGAAATAATATGAAGTTTTCGTATCCCAGTTTCTCCTGCCTCTGTGGAAAAAAATCGTTTCCGAAGCAAAGCTACTCTGTCTAAGTCATTAATTAATTTATAGACTAGAGCCAATTGTTTTAAACTTAACACTATATTATGACATTTTTTTATTATCATTAAAAAACATTTTTTTAAATTTTACATTTTATTTAGTCCGCCCGCTCCCTTCTTAGTTGAGCTTGGAGATTAGAAACACGTGTGAAAAGTATGGGTGGCGATATGCAAATAATACTTGGCATGCCAGTGACCAATGACCCTCATCTCTGTTCCGCATAACATGCTGCTGTCTATTTTTAGACGTCTTATGCGTTGACGAATTTTGTGAGCTGTTTTTGTACTCATATGCACCGTGTGATAATGCTGGACCTGCATTACAGTTTTCGGTAAACAGTAATTTTACACCGACTTCAGTGACTTAAAGCAAGATTTTTCAGTTGCACATATGTCCGTTGCTTGTCTACGAATTACATGATCTGGGAACATTGTTTCGTGTTTGAATCCAAATTCTAATAAATTTGATTTTCGTATAGTTTCTGTATGGGCCGTATGTATAATACATGAAACAGTCTGGTCCATCGCAATTATGTGCTATAATAGTTTTCATGAAGGCCATGATTCTCAGGTATGAGAGAAAGTATCGCGTCACTCGGAATGTAATAACGTTATCAGTCTGATTTGTATAGACAGCAGAAAGCAGGAATAAACCAATGAATATCAGTAGTAGTTGTTGACACGATGGGAAATACAACATTGATTTGATGTGAAAAATAGAATAAATCATTGATATTTCAAATCGCTGACATTTCCACAGGTTATGAATGGTCCATGAAAGAGAGGACACCCTGCAACTTCAGCTGCTTTCAACATATGTTTGCTGACGCTGCGCAAAAGATAGAACAGACAACTACAGAAACAGGCTATCACAATATGATTACAGGTAAGTATACTTGACTATTTTTCATTAATCATTGGACAAATTGAAAATCCCAACCATCTCACGATAGGTCACAGGGGACGCAAAAGAAGAATAATTTACCTAAGCAGAGGATCCCACTGCCTCGTCCTTTACAGAAATAACGATTTGAATAAAATTATATTATTTGACTTAATCTACTCCCACCTTCAATCGATTTTCTTTTACGTATGACTTGTACTACAATTGTATTTTGATTGTTAATGTTAAATACATTAAAATGCAATGAGACAAACTTGCTGTTAAATAATAGCATTATGTTCCTTTATTGTTATCTTTATTCGTCCAGGTGACGCAACTCCATCAGATTTTAGCGATTTCCGAGGATGGCCAAAAATACCACAAAATGTAGGTTCAGAGAAACCAGTGGTTATGACACCCCATCTTATGAGACACGTGTATACAGATCCGAAGTTCATTCTCATCTTCAGAAATCCAACTGAAAGGTATCTACACACTGTATGTATGTTGTGTGTGCGCAAAATCTTGGTTACTTTTGTAACAGTCAGAAGAGAGATAAATGAGTTTGGGGAAAATGGTCGCATTGGCAGGGTGAGTGAAATTATTTGAATATCTAATTGTGTCTATCACATGCTCACAGTACTTATAAGAGCATTCAAATCGATATCAACCCGGGTATTTCTGGTCTTTGAGTTGATAATTTTGAAGGTCAAGGTCACACTTTAAAATACGCATATGAACATCTTATGACCAAATAAACTTGATATTTTAGTCAAGGGAAATCACGACACTACGTTTACATTACTCTTTAAAAATATTGACAATGGGCAAAAAAATAAAAAAATAATACTTCTTCACTGAAATATTTGAACATGTCCTTCACTTATGAACACGGAAGTTTGTAGAAACTTTTGTTTTCGTTTAAGTCTACAATTACTGAACGTATTACTCATGCCTCCTGGTTCATCTCTGTTTGATAATGATAAAGAACAATGCCATGATTATGAAAATGCTTTGTTGCTTATTTAAGTGCAATCTTACAAAATCTCTGTTCAAATACCCCGATATATCAAAGTGTTCACAGAGCTTGAAAATCGTATCCAAGTGAATTATGCCATGTGATATGATTGCAGGTTATATTCTGATTACACAATGCGGGGCGGAAGATCAGCTGTGGCTTTTCACGAAGCTGTGAGAAGAGATATCCAGACCGAGGAGACATGCATGAAGAACCACACGGTGGAACATTGTCTGTACAGCCTGGAGATAGCACGAACACTTCGGGTAGAAAAAGTTATTACATAAGTCTGAAGTACATTCACAGAACTGACGAAATGTTATCGCATATTACAATGGCTATTCTTCTTTCACAGACTCGGATCTTCTTAGGGTGCTATTCAGTGTACATGCGAGAATGGCTGAAAGTTTTTCCCAGAAACCAATTCCTTATTTTGCGAACAGAGGACCACGATGAAGATCCAAAATCTCAGTTAAGAAAAGTGTACAACTATTTGAAACTGAGTGAGTCTTTTTCTTTACGTTTCCATAAATATTCTTTCCCACTATTAACACAGAGCGAGTGATGGTAAGCTCCAGGAAAGGAGGTATAACGCATTCCTGTTTTATGTTTGAGACTTAGCACCATTACCTGTGCACATATTCCTCCTGCATCATAAATCATACCACGTTACACTGTATTTCAGATTATACTGAAGATTGGTTGAGTTTCATCGCCAATGTGCCTCATCAGCATGTATCTCAGAAGAAGATAAGACAGGGTCCTATGCTTGAAAAGACACGTGTTCTGCTGGACAATTTTTACAGCAGATACAAACAGGATTTGTCAAATATACTCCAGGATAAGAGATTTCTGTGGGTGACATAAAACCTGCTGAAAAGACATTAAATGTGGAGGATAAAACCAATGTGCAAATAGTTGGCAATTATAAGTAACTGGATATATCGTAAAATAAAATTTTACCAAACGATAACCAATTGCTTGCTTGCTTGCTTGCTTGCTTGCTTGCTTGCTTGCTTGCTTGAGAGAGAGAGAGAGAGAGAGAGAGAGAGAGAGAGAGAGAGAGAGAGAGAGAGAGAGTACATCGATGAATCGAGGCCAGGTGTCGCTTCCAGTAACAGAGTCTGGTTATCATATCTTCCTCATAACGTTTTTGTTTTTTGGGTTTTGAGTAACCATGGTAGTATAGTTGTGTTTCACCCTCCTGGCTCCCCACCCACCATGGAGCATCAACAAGGACGATGCCAAATGTCTCTGGGCCTCCAACAGGCGGCACCAAGGATACCAAGAGAGTATACTCAAGCAGAAACATTAGAAATAATTTACCACCAGATTGGCCCTGGGCTTTACGACTCTAGGCAAAATTGCAAATAAATCAACATATAAACATACATATTTGGTTTGAATACAATTTAAGCAGAAGTAAAATTTGCCAAATGAAAACTAAATTGGGTCAAATCTGTGCTGATAAAGATAACACACAGGGCTCGGCATGACCAGCAGATTGATAGGACCGGGCCCATCCTACCACACGTCTAGGCGAAGTAAGGGTCGAAGTGGTGTATTGGGCAAAATTCCTTGAACCAGTGCCCTCAACCACCAGACTCACGTCCTCCGCCGACACAGGGACGCAACCCACGGCAAACGGGTTGCCCGCTTCGGTCGCCTTTTCCGACTAGCAATGGGGTGCTGAGGACACATTCTTGTTTACCCTCCCCGGGTCCCCACGGGGAGTAAGCGAATGTGTCATAGTCGAGTGACCGGGAACTATATGATGATAATGTTTCATACGTACACCGGTTACAGGCCGGCAAAGCCACATTTCGAAAATAGATAGCCCAAATTGATGTGGCTCTCGCGGCAATGGTTATGTGATTGTATAATGTGGCTCTCGCGGCTATGCTGTCAAAACAGGCTTTGTGATTCTAACAGGTTACCGTATATAACAAAACAAGTCTTGTTTTCTCATTTTTTATTCAACAAGGATAACATATTCATCAAAACTTTACATTGATGAATATGAATAGCATATGAATATCATAGTGGATTTAATGTCATTACTGCAGATAAAAGGAGGTCGCCCACGTGGTCAGCATATTCCATCTCACTCAGGTGTTGGTTCAGGAGCTGGATCTTGAGGGACGCAATACGTGCATCGATTGCCTTGTACTTCTTTCTTCGTGAAGGTTCTGACCACTGGTGAGAGAGTCTCAGGACTGCAACCTCTTTGAGTGACTGCTCTCGCTGAAATAGCTTCACTACCTCGTAGATGTTCGGGTGGCACTTCTTGGCAAGTTTCTTTATCTTGTTGTGCCACCCTTCCAGGTGATTGTTGGTGCGGTGGCCTTGGTTTTCGAAATGGTTCCAAATCTCTGGCATGAAGGCCCCTCCTTGAACCTAATTGGTTGTCACGTAGTCAATGAAGACAGTCACTTTAAGGCCAGCAGGAGAGTCAGCAATGGCATCAAGCCACACATCATCCACTTTGTCACGAGGTACTAGAGGGCAGCAGCTCTTCTCTCCAGCTTCTTCACCTCCTCATCTTCCATATAGTCCATCATCAGACCTTCTTTCTGCACCCTCCTCCAGATACATTGGGTGAAGTGAAAGAAACACCCTCTAACTAATGTCCCAGGAAATACACCAGTCACGGTATTGTGAGCTGCTCTTAGACCGAAACTTAAAGCCATCATAGTACAAATGTACGTCTTCTCTGACATTTTCAATGAACTTTATTTGAACTTGTGCGTTTGCCATGGTTCTGATATGGAGTGAACACGACGTCACTTAAATATGTTATGAATAACAGGATGAACTCAATGTCAATTAAGACCGCCTTTGATCTCTAAAGAACACCACGCTTAGTAATTTAAATGTGGGACACTCATATAAAGGTATCGGTAATCGGATTAATTAATTACCCGCTAGAATAGGTGAAATGCACTCAGCTGAAAATGTGGCTCTACCGGCAATAGCAATTTCTGGAATGTGGCTCTCCCGGCTAGACACCCGTACACTACTGCCTAGAAGTTCTTTCCCCTTACACGCATGGGCAACGCGTTACGCAACCCGTGTGCACCCCGTTGGTCACTCGCGTGGAACCCGTCCGACACGCGTGTGATACCCGTGTGCGATACCCGTGTGCGATACCCGTGTGCAACGCGTTTCACACTCATTAGAGGGGGAACAAACTTTTGACCAAAGGAGGACCAATGTTTAGCTGAACCTGGAGGTGGTAACAAGGAGATAATCTTTTGATTTCCTGACGAAAAATGTTAATACACATCTTTTTATATGTCTCATTTTTAGATGTGATTTTGTTGGAAAATATGAGTACTGTTGTGGCTTCTACATGATGTTTTGCGATGGTGTTAAGAGAATATATGACCCTGTTAAATGTTATTGCTACTCAAATGCTTTTTTTGTGATTTGACATTAAACGTCTGTAGTACGACTTTCAGTGATCATGTTTATAAGGTTTGGTGGAGCATTGTTTTTATTGGACCCTAATTACTTTATGATGGCTGGGTCTCTTTGTCTCAGCTCCGTAGCCGTGACGCTGGGAAAGGCCACCATGTAATTAATGAGAGTAGGTTATATCATGGAGGATACACTTGAGGGAGAGGTTTCTACTAATTACCGTACCACAGGAAGAGACCTGTAGACGTGAGCGCGGGGTTGTGTGTAAGATGGCCGTTGCATAATGGCCGCCAGGAGTGGTAAACATTGAGCTAAAGCAGTGTTGTTTTCACGGGCTTGTTGAATAAATTCCCAGCGCTGCTGTCCATACATCTTCTACTTGATCCTAGATACATCAGTCTGGCATTTACAATATATACAATATATATTTTTCAACGTACATTAATGGTTTACTAGTCATAACTTTTAGAGTATTTGTCAATTGTGTTGAGCTTACAAGCAATAATTGTAATTTGTGGTGACATATAAATATAAAACGTCTCATTTAAAACATGAAGTAAGTACGATTGTAAATAATAATATTCAAATCGCATTAAAATACAACGATAACAAGATTCATATGTAAACCTAAAGCCTTTGTTCCACATCCATAGCCAGGAGGAAAGCTGCTGACTAAACAAGGGTCTTTTTTCTGCACCATAATTTCTTTCATCTTATGAAAAACTGTTTAAAAAATGGCAACTTATAATTAACCAGGGTAATAATACTTACCCGACCTGCGTTTATGTATCTCTCTGTCATTATTATCGTTAACATGTGTCTACTTTTAAGTGTATATACTTATGCCATACATCGTACTGATTAAGGAATGACACATCATCGTGATATATATGTACTCCATACACATGCAGCACAACGGTACTATGAATCCTTAGCACAGAAAATCGTCTCCCCGAGTTACTGTGTAACGGTTCACCCCTTGTTTTCAGACGTGTCATTCAGACAAATAAGTCGGGTGCGACAGTTATCACAATCTCACCGGTTATAAAGATTTTATACATGCCGACTGACACTCTTGATGGGTCAGTGATTAAGACAACAGATCAATACACACGCTTCCTATTCAGTATGTACGTATGATTACATGGCTGTGTATATGCATGGTATGTATGGCTGTATGTATGATTAAATGTATGTAAATTATGTAAGTGTATTTATGTGTGTATAAATGTATGTAAGCCTAGATTACAAAATAAATGCTTCGGTCGTTTGAAGCCAGAAGGCAGAGGTATTCCCGGGAAAGAAGCCTACTCTCGCAGTTTGTCACTAGAGCTGAAACTACTCTCGGATTCTTTTTTGAATAAGGCGAATGGAGCAGAGTAAGCTTAGGGATTATCGGCTGTTTTGTGAAAACAATGCTTCAGAAAGATCGACGTCCTGTCCCTATGAACAAACCTACAGATTACGGGATTGAACGTCACAAGTGTCTGTCAGGTTTCTTAATGCTTAATTACTTTTGCTGGAGAATATGTTTCTTGTACAAGCGCTATAAAACATGTTAACATGAATATATATATAAATGTTGAAGCTGGACTTCCCTTCAGTTTTCCTTTATTTAGCAAGCCCCTCATACTGAAAAACAGCCTAACTGCTTATATTACTATATCCTGCTATGCTTTATATCTAACAAAGCTATACATTACTAATAAATTAGGGCTTAATTTTATCTATATTTAAAACTTTCTCCCTCTGTAACAAAATCCATATGTTCTAGTATTATATTTGATATACCCGTATTTACATATACACATCATTTATAATTTATAGTCAACATATATACCTATAAATCTTTACTATTCTCAATAATGTAATGTAATGTAATGTAATGTAATGTAATGTAATGTAATACATTAAACTCCCCCCATATTATTTATTAATCAACCCCACCTACCCCGTCGACGAAATACAGGACTGTGAAGTCGACGTAAAACCTAAAACTTGATGATGATAATAAATGAATGTTAATGCAACAACCGTTGCGTGTAAAGATATATTGAATACATTTGACACATTAACATATTTCAACACCTTTTTTAATTGTAAAATTAGATAATTTAAACGTAAGTAGCATATGACAGTTGGAATTAAAAGGTCTACAAGAAGATGTATTTCTTATAATAGAAGGTCCATAAGGGTATTTAGTATTAGGTTATGAAAAAATAGTTCTCTTGATATTCAGTACTGGACATTTGCCCACAGTCCCTTTTTTGTTTGTTTATTGTAAAAGTTAATAAGGAGGTTTGGTGGGGGACTAGAGGTATCTTTTCAGAGGGTGTTATTCTGGCATTACCCACTATTTACTGGAGGATATTGGAAATGAATATATGGACTGTCATGTTGTCTGACTACAGATAGGATTTGTTATCTTAACAATCACTGGGGGTTTCACATTAGAGGTGATTTTTACAATTGCCCAAATGATCCTGCTGAGTATTGGTGCTTAGTGATGTCAAATGGAACACTTTATTATTAAAGGAAATTGGTAGTGAATTCTTAATACCATCTATATCTAGGATTTTTAGCCCTTTCTTTCTCTGTGTGTAATTCTGATGGAAAGAAGTCACTCAACCAGTTCATGCATTCCATGGTAAACAAAGATCAGACTTGGTTAGAATTCGTGTTTATCCGTGACAACTTCCCACTGGTGATATTGTAGTGAACTTGGGAAGTTGTGATGCTTTTTTATATTTAAATTATTATAATCTGTCAAACTGTACATAAATGTGTGGGTGTTAAATCATAAAATTCAAAGGGACTGTTCCCTACACCCATCAATATCATAATGAACATTAGTTTATTGTATGGATTATATAAAGCTCTCACTAAGTATATGTTTTACATGCATGGAAGATGGGATTAAGGGAGAAAGGAAATATTTTCCTGTACGATTCCAATAACTAGTGGAGGAAATTGGAAATGGCTGAACCTGTAGATAGCGTCCGTGATAGATTTGACAGACCTTACAGGGTAACATTCAACAGGCTCATTACCTTGTGATCATGTTAACATTTTTTCTTAACAGTTTAGAAAAAGAGAAGATATTTGAAGTGAACTACATTGGAAAATGAGAGAAGAAATTAATAGTCAATGTTTTTATCATAAAAACTCTCTGTTCAGTAAACAGTTGTTATTTTAGTACTTTCAAGAGGAATCCCAAACCTTCTCTTACTCTGTTATGATATATAATGTCAAAGTGAAAGCAAAAAAAAAAAATCGTGCAACAAAGCATTTTCCATGGACTTGTTTATTTGCTATTTTGATATACATATGTTCAGATTGATTGAAAAATATACAATATCAACTATAAATTTCTTCCGTGTGTGAATGCGTGTAATACTTGCATATTGGCTCCCCAGTTCTAATAATGCTTCATATGAAAGCAAAATTGTGTGTTTAATTAACATCATCTCTAATGTCAGTGACTGATTTCAAACCGCATGTCTTGGTGTTACACAGTCAGTGTACATGTCCCAACTCTCGTGTATCTACATTAATGTTTCGCCCTGGCGATCTAACGTTATAACATTTCAGGTCATAGACATCCTCTTATACACAGCAGAAGCGTTCTGGACATATTATACCCCCATCACACCAAACTAGTTCTCAATACGTTCGTAAATAATTTGTCGAACGGGCTCCAACTGTGTATGAACGTAGCGGACGTTGTAGCAACTATTGACAGTCTTTTTACGAACTTCATGGACGGGCTCGGATGGGGAAGGTGCTCTAGAAGTTTGAGTCTGCTCAAAATTTTATCCCGTCCTTTCCGTTCTGCAATGGGATTGCCTAAAAGTCGGGCCAAGAAAAGTCGAGCCGGGCCGGGCCAGCGGGTAAAACTAAAAATGGAATGCAGGATAATAAAACGAAACGTGCAAATCTAGGCAGACCGCAAATGTCCACAAACGTATAGTTTTGGGTGGGAGTGGGTGGTTAAAAAGTACTCAATAATATGGAAAAAGTTGGGCGTGGGTTGGAGGGGAGGGGGTCAAGCGTGGGAAGGCACGGCGTCGGCGGGCGAGCTTGTGTGGCGACCAGAGGCGTTTACTTGAGAACGCCGGTGAGGACAGTGGAAGCGATCTTGCATTCTTCCAGGCAGATGCCTGGGAAGAGTCCGTCGACGAGGCGGGCGGCCATGGCGGCGACGAAGTTGTTGGAGTAGACAACATCGCTATTTTCAAGGAAGTCCTTGAGGTCCTGGAAACTGTGGATCTCGTGTTCGAAGCGTTCGCCCTCTATGGTCTGGACCATAACCATGGCTGGTTGGGGGCGGCTGCTAGAGTTTGATCCTGTTGGTTGGTTTCCCGGAGGCGGGTGGAGGCAGGTGCTTGAAGAGGTCCATGACTTTAGCCGCTTCCCGGGTAAGCATGAGCCGCGCGTCCTCTGGCTTCTCCTTTGGCACCTTGACCGGGTTGGTCTGGGTGTGGCTGTCGCGGAGAGGAGGGACTGGTGGAGTGGCGGTCTGGGTGTGGCTGTCATTGAGTTCAGGGCCTGGTGGGTCGGCGGTCTGACACTCTATGGACTTGGTGATTGTAGGAGCTGGGAGGGGTGAAGCGTCTGGGGAGAATATGCTTCTCCTCTTCCTCTTCTTTCTCCCGTGTCCTGTCCCCTCAGGCGAGCGAAAGGGCTCCTCCCCACTGGATTCGAGGGGAGCGAGCTCCGGTGCTGCTGTTGGGGGTGGAGGGGTAGTGGGAAGACTTTCCTCAATCTCCATGATGGAGACTGGAGGGGTCTTCTTTACCTTGGGCGGCCTTTTCCTCTGTACCGGGCTTAGTGCAGCAGGGGTAGGGGCCGGGGTGGGTTTCTCCTTGGGCTTGGTCTTGGCCGGGGCTTTGACCAGAGGCCTCTTCTTATGACATAAGTCAAAGGAGATGGAGAGCGTGGAAGTTTTGGACTTATAGGAAGTCCTGAGGGAGTAGTCCCCAACCCGGTAAGCCAGCAGGGGCTCCAGGATGGAGACAAGCTCCCTCGGTAGTGACTTTGAGAGGTCTCTCATAGTCGGATTGTAGTTTTGAGAGCTCAGGAGGACGTGCTCGCAGGGCGAGTATCCAAGCCGAGGGCCAAGGGCGGGTAACTCTCACTTTATGAGAAAGTTTCTCACCGACCTTAGCGTGTAGGGGTGTGATGTCCAGGGCAGGAAATGACACTGTTTTGATTACTCTTCTTTCATTAATTAACGTGTTGGGCATCCCTAATTTACCTTTACTAATTCATGTTAAACCAACACAGGATGTTTTCTGGAAGTGGATATTCGCGAATGTCATAGGGCTGACACGACACGTGTTAAAAACTGTCCTAGCACTTCTAACGTTCCTAACATTCTTTATATCCTATACTAAGACTAGTATTATATTTAATTATATACCACTTTATTGTCTCATATTGCGGTAGTTAAAGAAAACACAGTGCTCAAAGTGAAGCCCTTTTCACTCTAGATTCTCAACATAGTCTCTATCAGAAGTGTTTGGCTCGTGTTGGGTCAACTTATTGAGGCTCTTAAGTCTCCCGAAGTTAAAGACATTTTGGCTGATACAATCATTCACAAACTCAACGACAAATTTGACCAGGTGTTTAAATTAGTTGAAAGCTGCAAGTCTGATCTCCAATCCCATGATGAGGCAATCTCTGATCTCCAGCGAAGATTGTGTTCGAAAGACATCGAACTGGACGAGATACGTCAGTACAGTCGTCGTAATAACATTCGGTGTAACTCTACACTTATCAGATATAGAAAGGAGCCATGGATCCGGTGATCCGACGTTTTACTCAGTGAGTAAACCGCGACCTATACTTGTGAAATTTCTGTCATACCGAAACAAACGGGAAGTCCTCAAACAGCGATCTAACTTAAGGAAGCTGAGAGATAGAGTCTATATCAACGACGACCTAACTAAAGTTCGCTCACGAATCGCCGGACAAGCACGCAAGCTTGTTAATGAAAAGCGCATACTTAACACTTGGACCAGTGATGGGATAATCTTCCTTAAAACTAATGATGAAGAAGAAGAAAGAAGAAGAAAATAATTTATTAAGGTGTCGCATGATATACATACATAGGGTCAGACAGTGAAACACAATTATTGTATATCATCCGGCCGATATGGCCTATGGGACACCAAATATCTCATGATCATGAGTACAAATAAAAGCACATAGTGTGCTAAAAACACAGATGTTAAAAAATAAAATAAAAAATTAAAAATTAAAAAAATTACATTTAAAATAAACAATGTAAAACGTAAGAGGCACGGGTGCGCGACATGTATCCCGCATTAAGTATATGATTGGATAGATATAGGTAAATAAAATAGATGGATACAACTACATGTGCAACAGTCATAGCAATGCGAGACAGACGACGTGCGCCCGGACCTATGGCATATTACTAGTTTTTTGTAAAATGCTTTCTACGCTGAAACATCCGGTTCACTAAAGCGGCAAGGCTTGTCGATAATTCATCGCATTGCATTAAAAAGGCGAGTTGGTCAGTAGGAATCATAGCCACGAACAATGGATTAATTAAAGACGCTTGATGGAATAAGTTATATCTTAGGTGATGGCAAGACACTAACGATCACAAGACAATCACAAATGGACGAGGTCGTCGAATCCCTAAAGATCAAGATAACACTAAAACTCACTCAAAACAGTCAAACATCTACTGTTGATCTTGACAGCAGCAAGGAAGAATCTGAGTCACTCTTCTTATAATGTGGTTAATCTTTTCCTCTGTTATTACACTGTTTCAGTACTATGGATCTGAACTTAAAGCCTCATTGACAAAAACAAGTTTCCGTGATGGGCTGCTGACTTTACTTGTTAGTGGTCTGAAATAGTTGTCCTGTACAAATCATTTTTTTCTCGCATGACCTTGGCAAAACTATCTAACTGTAACAAGTTTACTGTTACATTCTGATAAACCTGATCTTCAAATGTATAGACGGGCCAAATGACTAGTATTTAAAAAGTTACCAATAAAACAACCATAAAGTTCTTCGATCCTTCTCCTGAAGTATAAAACATATGGAATTATATGTGTTGACATTAGGTTCAAGGCAGTATTATAGTCTGACTTCAGTTTCCTTACTCTTAAATTCTACTAACCCATGTTAGTGTTATCAGCATGTCATGATGACTGCTCAAGCCGGTGATTATTGACATCTTATTATCAATTCCTTCTAAAAAACATATGCGTGTTTCAATATATGCGTGTTTTAATATATGTGTGCGATGTTTTCGTGTGTATATGTGCATGTATGTTTGTGTATATATGTATGTATGTGTATGCATGTGTATATATGTATATATGTATGTGGTGTATGTATGTCTGTAGAATTTAGTTTTGAGTAATTAATTGATCTGCTTCAGGGGCAAATTGTAGTCTACACTACAAGTCTACATGTGGAAGATATAACCACTTGCTCAGAAAAATATATTTTATAGTCTAGATTAATGTTTAGTGTAGCTTAACTAAAAATCCTCTTAGACATTGCCTAAGATGATTTTGTGACTATCTTTATTTCGCTTACAGGACAATATGGGTGTTAATTTATTGTTAATTTGGATGGGCGGGGTTCTTTATAAATATTATATATTATACTAACATTTGCATAAAGCTGTTATGCCGTAGATTTTCTTTTTATTAATTAGTCACTGCACAAACAGATTGGTCAACTTCGTGGATTGAAATAAGCTGAAGAAATATCAGTCCAAATTACATTATGGAAGTTTGTATATTAAGGATGATAAAACTGATTTACTTACATTGGTAGTATTCCCTCTACAATCCACGTGGTATAATCCAATCTGATTGTGTTAAGATGACAATCTAGGCAAAAGTTCTATCTTGGCTGGTATTGCCAATTTCTTGAAAAAAGCATGCACCTGTTGCAACAACTGCTTCGTGGCCCGTGCAATGCTGCCAGGTCATCATGACCTATAACTACCGATCTGACTTAGTTTCGTATTTCTGAATTACTGTTTTTTTTCTTATTTTGGCTTCCCATTTAAATCATGAGAAGAATGATTGCGAATCCCGATGCCTCAATCGACTGGAGACTCGTTCCTCACAAATATTCCTACTCCCAGCTGTAAGATGCAGCTATTACAAGAGGGACATTGACGTCTTTGAATGCTGACCTGTTTCACGAATACCTGTTGCTATCACTGTACTTTATTAGTTATTACCAAAGTAGGTTTTTGAAATTTTCCTTTCACCTTTTCTCTTTTTTGTAACAGACATACACATGTTGACACCACGTGTTGAGGATGGCATTCATCCTACTGTTGACTATCCCAGGCCATTACAATGTACTTGTTGTATTCATAGAGTGAGTGAGTGACTGTTGACACGCTTAGTTCCGATTCACTTACAGAAATATTACAACACTGCCAAAACCCGACTCAGCAGATTAACGGTAACGGCAAAGTCTCCCATGGAGAGCCACTTCACTGAGTCCGTCATGGGGGCAGAGATCATTCGTGCTTTTGGTGATCAACAAAGGTTTGCTAAGAAGACTCAAGATACCATTGACCATTATCACAAAATGAGAATCTGTGGGAGAGTCGCTTACAGGTAAGTGAGACTATTGTTTTCAGTCAGTGCTTCAATACATTCATTTCCTTTCTCTCAGAGGGAGGAGCCACAATATTTCTGTTAACCTGAACGCATTAATTTTCAAAAAGTCCAGTACGTCCAGTGAATTATTGGTTTGGGGGTAAATCTGAGAATTAACCTTTCTCCGTGACTTTGATTAAAGTGACAAACGTTGAGGACCTGTATCACATCAGAGTTTCCAAGCCATATTGCCATGATGTAACTGGGGGCAGTCGGATAGCCTAGTGGTTAAAGCGTTCGATCGTCACGCCGAAGACCCGGGTTCGATTCCCGACATGGGTACAATGTGTGAAGCCCATTTCTGGTGTCCCCCGCCTTGATATTGCTGGAATATTGCTAAAAGCGGTGTAAAACCATACTCACTCACTCACTGATGTAACTGAAATAATGTTCAAAGCAGCGATAAGCCTAGCCTCCACCAACCTTTACCGCATCCGTGGTCAAGTGGTAGAGCGTCTACCCGGAGAGCGGAAGGTCGGGGTTCGATCTCCGGCCGCGTCATACCAAAAGGCGTTAAAAGATGGTACTTGTTGTTACCCTGCCTGGCGCCCGGAATTTAAGGAGTAAAACAAGGACTGGTGGGCTCGGAGTCAGTATACTTTGTACGAGTGGGGTAATCATGTTAAACTGCGACATGGTATCTCGGTGGGCTGGCACTATTAAATCGGCACATACACGTCGCTGTATAAATGCAATAATCTTAAACGCGACGTTAAACCCCATTTTACTTCACATCCATCCACCTGCCCCCTGTCATAGATCCCACCTACAAATCTGTATTTACTATCATTGGATCCAGAACTATCTCGTCCAGTTTACCACATGACAGTTCAATTTTCACCGCAGAATCACATGCCATCTTAACAGCTCTTAAATATACTCAAAATCAATCTAAGCATAAGCAGTTCATAATATTTTCCGACTCTCTTTCGTGTCTTCAGGCTATCAAAAATATGTCATGTACGCATCCACTTTTAATCGACGTCGTTGAATTATATAATGATCTTGCTACTGGCCAATACGACATCATTTTCTGCTGGTTACCAAGCCACGTTGGAATAACTGGTAACACAATGGCTGATGCAGCTGCAAAAGCAGCGCTCAACAAATCTGTGACACCACTTCTACTTCCATACAGTGATATTAAACCTGCAATCAGATCTTACATCTACAATCTTAGGCAAGAGAAGTGGGACACCCAAGTAGGTATTAATAAATTACATGAAATTAAACCAACTATAGGTTACACCTACTTGGCTTGTCAGTCCATATTTGAAGAGGTCGTAATGCGGCGATGTCGTATTGGCCACTCGAGATATACACATGAACATTTATTGCAAGGTGACGATCCTCCATTTTGTATCCCTTGTGATGAGAGAATCACGGCCAAGCATGTCCTGCTTGACTGTGTTGATTTTTCCATTACAAGGGATAAGTATTTCAAATCTTCATCTGTCAAGGATCTTTTTAATAATATTAGTTCTCTTTTAATCATTGGTTTTTTAAAAGAAATAGAATTGTTTGAACATTTTTGATTAATCTGATTAGCGAATTAAGTAAATGTTGTTTTAAATTTGGTAGATTAAATAAGCAACTGAGATTGTCAGTGGCTGTATCCTCGAAGGGGGTTAAAGCACTGTAAAATTATTGTCCCCCGGGGAGGATACGTAAGCTCCGCGTCACTCGAAGTACATTTAGGCCTACCACGATTTTATTCGTAGTATATTTGCTATTTTTAATCAATGGTTAAACTTGCATACAATCGCCAGCGACTAAAGGGATGGTGTAAATCCTGCTGGGGTCCATGTAGGTAGCAAAGGTACTATAAGTCCCCATGGTCCCTAGTATGGTGATCTACCTTCCATTGCTGGCGATCTATAGCCCGTTTTTACAAGGTATTGTTCTGTTTTGTAATTGCTTTTTATGGTCACATACTAGTTTTAAAAATTGATATCTGTGATAAGTCTAGTTATTTTACTGTCCTTTGCTGACAGGTTTTTATATAGTCTAAATTACTGTTTCCTTAATGTATTTCTCGCTTTAGTCACGATATGGCTGAAATATTGCCGATGTGACTTTAAATATTAACTCACTCACTCACTGTCATAGATCCTGTACTTCAACAGTTGGGAAACTATTCATTTTTCCAAAGCTATATGGTATGTGTTGTGTAGATGGATTGGGGTCCAGATGATCGGCATTGGTAATGCACTATGTGGAGCCTCCTGTCTACTGAGGAGTTTTACGAAAGGAGCCACATCAGCAGCCATGATGGGTCTGGGGACTACATTCTCATTACAGGTAGTACAGAACAACATAGACAAGGTATAAGAATAAAACATCATAAGAACACCCGAAGTGTTCAAGAGTGTCATGAAAATAATTGTTATTGTATCAAGAACAAAAAATCCAAACCACCTACACCAACCTGAATATTAAATGGTCCCAGTTCTGAAATCTTACCCGTTTTATATACTATGTTTTTCAGTTGAAAGGGGACATGAGATGGCTTATGAGCTTGCAGAGTGACCTGGAATCCAGTTTAATATCAATGGAGAGAATCACACAGCACATTCACAGTCCTAATGAGGTATGTCCACTCACTCATGGTCCTCAGAAAGTATAAAAAGCTACTTGAGTTGCGATTACTGAGTTCAAAGCTGTAGTTGCTCAGTGAAGAATAAAGAAGTGCTATTTTGTCAGAAATATGCTTACGAAGAGCCACTTAGTATCCTTAAAACAAAAATTCAAAGAAATGCAATGCCCCTTTGACAGGATTCGTGGAGGAAGAATGCTTCTCAGCTTCCACGGAACTGGCCGGAAAGAGGCAGGCTGGAGTTCCACAACTACAGCCTCCGATACAGTCGGGGCGGGGACCTGGTGCTGAGGAACATCTCATTTACCGTACATGGAGGGGAGAAGGTGGGTGGAATGTCTCATTTACTGTACATGGCGGGGAGAAAGTGGGTGGGACGTCTCATTTACTGTACATGGAGGGGAGAAGGTGGGTAGAATGTCTCATTTACTGTATATAGAGGGGAGAAAGTGGGTGGGACGTCTCATTTACCGTACATGGAAGGGAGAAGGTGGATGGAATGTCTCATTTACTGTACATGGAGGGGAGAAGGTGGGTGGGACGTCTCATTTACTGTACATGGAGGGGAGAAGGTGGGTGGAACGTCTCATTTACTGTACATGGAGGGGAGAAGGTGGGTGGAACGTCTCATTTACTGTACATGGAGGGGAGAAGGTGGGTGGAACGTCTCATTAACTGTATATGGAGGGGAGAAGGTGGGTGGGACGTCTCATTTACTGTACATGGAGGGGAGAAGGTGGGTGGAACATCTCATTTACTGTACATGGAGGGGAGAAGGTGGGTGGAACGTCTCATTTGCCGTACATGGAGGGGAGAAGGTGGGTGGAATGTCTCATTTACTGTACATGGAGAGGAGAAGGTGGGTGGGACATCTCATTTACTGTACATGGAGGGGAGAAAGTGGGTGGAATGTCTCATTTACTGTACATGGAGGGGAGAAAGTGGGTGGGACGTCTCATATACTTTACATGGAGGGGAGAAGGTAGGTGGAATGTCTCATTTGTTGTACATGGAGGGGAGAAGGTGGGTGGAACGTCTCATTTACTGTACATGGAGGGGAAAAGGTAGGTGGATTGTCTCATTTACTGTACATCGAGCAGAGAAAGTTGGTGGAAGATCTTATTTACTGTAAATGGAGGGGAGAAGGTGGATGGAACGTCTCATTTACTGTACATGGAGAGGAGAAGGTAGATGGAATGTCTCATTTGTTGTACATGGAGGGGAGAAAGTAGGTGAAATGTCTCATTTACTGTACATGAAGGGGTGAAGGTGGGTGGAACGTCTCATTTACTGTACATGGAGGGGAGAAGGTAGGTGGAATGTCTCATTTACTGTACATGGAGGGGAGAAAGTGGGTGGGACGTCTCATATACTTTACATGGAGGGGAGAAGGTAGGTGGAATGTCTCATTTGTTGTACATGGAGGGGAGAAGGTGGGTGGAACGTCTCATTTACTGTACATGGAGGGGAAAAGGTAGGTGGATTGTCTCATTTACTGTACATGGAGCAGGGAAAGTTGGTGGAAGATCTTATTTACTGTACATGGAGAGGAGAAGGTAGATGGAATGTCTCATTTGTTGTACATGGAGGGGAGAAAGTAGGTGAAATGTCTCATTTACTGTACATGAAGGGGTGAAGGTGGGTGGAACGTCTCATTTACTGTACATGGAGGGGAGAAGGTAGGTGGAATGTCTCATTTACTGTACATGGAGGGGAGAAGGTAGGTGAAAATTTAATGTCTCATTTGCTGTACATGGAGGGGAGAAGGTAGATGGAATGTCTCATTTACTTATATGGAGGGGAGAAGGTAGATGGAATGTCTCATTTACTGTACATGGAGGGGAGAAGGTAGATGGAATGTCTCATTTACTGTACATGGAGGGGAGAAGGTAGGTGGAATGTCTCATTTACTGTACATGGAGGGAGAAGGTAGGTGAAAATTTAATGTCTCATTTGCTGTACATGGAGGGGAGAAGGTAGATGGAATGTCTCATTTACTTATATGGAGGGGAGAAGGTAGATGGAATGTCTCATTTACTGTACATGGAGGGGAGAAGGTAGGTGAAATGTCTCACCACAGGTAGTACCTGCCTCATAAGCATAAGCTCTCATTGATTTCTCATCGACTTCTCTATCTGATTTGAATATACCAAATCGAGACAATCGACAATTTAGGAAATTATCGATTTGCAACCCAAATTGTATTTTCGTTAATATTTCTGCATGCTATCTTCTTTTAGGACCCTGTGTTGTTTACGGGTCCGTTAAGGCTGAACCTTGACCCCCAAGACCTGTACTCGGACCAGGACATCTGGTCGGCCTTGGACCACACCCACATCCGCCAGTTTGTCGAGTCCTTGCCTGACCTTTTGCAGAGTGACTGTGGAGAGGGAGGAACCAACTTCAGGTAGGCCCTAATGATTATGTGTAGGACGCATTAAGCTTTCCTAATTGTTCAGTTACAACCTGTCGTTGTCACTGAACGTTAATGTGCAGACCAAGGTCGCCAACATTATATATGATCCTTGGTTTGCTCTTTCTGTTATTTTTAGGTAACGGTCTTTGTGCTCTCCTATCCCTGAAATTCCATTGACACAGCTCAGTATCACTCCAGCTCTCTCTCTCTCTCTCTCTCTCTCTCACACCCCCCCCCCCCCCCCCCCCCCACACACACACACACACTCACACATACATACATACATACATACACACACACACATATATACACATGTATATATATACCCCTTAAAAGAAGTTAAGGATCACCCGATTCTTTCATAATGGTAAAGTTAATCTGTCATGACATGAGAGATTAACTATAGTAATATGAAAGAATCAGGTGATCCTTAAATTCTTTTGAGTAGTATATAATCAGTTTCCCACACAAGCTGCCATGGCATCATAATCTAGGGTGTTGTCTCTTGTTATATGATCACTTATGCTTACATCGTATCCCAGTGCGTGGATCGATTACCATGATGTCAGTCACTGGATTGCCTGGTCCAGACTCGATTATTTACAGACCGCCGTCATATTGCTGGAATATATCTGAGTGTGGCGTTAAAAACAACAAACAAACAACAAGAATGTGTGTAATTGGAGAATTATTTCCCACACTTGGGCGTTGTGGGTTGTTTTCAAAAGGCAACTGCAAAGTTCCTTGGACTCCACAACAAGACAACCGTCTCGCACCGCATTGTCACTATAAAAGGTTTCGTGATTATCTATTTATGATACAAATATTTATTACTCTGGTGTCTGTTGAGGTGATGGTTAGCAACTACAGCAATCATCTCGTGAAATGACTTTATCTTTTTAACGATTTACAAAGTATACAAGCAGTTGTACACCCTGAAGGTAAATAAAAGCACCTTGATGAAATATAACACATCTTTCTAGTTCTCTTCTGTTTTGACCAAGTCAAACTACTTTTGAAACAGTTGATGACTGTTCATGACTAATTTATTTATTAGTGTCGGACAACGTCAACTATTCTGTATGAGCAGAACGCTCTTGAAGAAATCCAAGATCCTTGTTCTGGACGAAGCTACAGCAGCCGTTGATATGGCAACAGATGACCTGATCCAGCAGACCATCAGGTCAGAGCTCAAGGACTGCACGGTGCTGACCATCGCCCACAGACTCAACACGGTCATGGACTACGACAGGTGGGTGAAATTGTAGATATTGCTGAATGTGCTAAGGAAAGTATGTAAATATATAAGTGTATGAAATAGTTGTAATATGTGTCATTTTCGAGTTACCAAAGTCAAAAAGGGCGACAACTAGATCTTCGAATGAAGCAGTCATTCTTCTTGTCCATGCTCTTGTTCTGCTAAATATGAAGTGATTAACCGTTGGATGTATTTCACGGTAATGATTAACACAGTACACAAGTGTATTATTATGGAATAAGACTGTTAGTATGGAAGTAATATGAGGGGAAATGGGGTTTAACATTGCGATGAAGGTTATTTCATTCATATAGGGACGTGCAAGCATGTGAGGGCACGGCTTCTTGTGCTAGTCTGGACTAATGTCGTTTTTTATGTCCATTGAGATACCGTGTTGCAGTATAACATTGAGGTCCCATTCACACATGATGATGACACCGAGCTGGCCAGTCCTTGTCCATTATCCCTTTAATGCCCATCTCCCCGAGGCAAGAGAGTTAATTGGCTTTAAAAGTCCAGTTTCCACCCTTGTCGAACTAGCCTGGAATTCCTGGGCTCGATCGTAGCGTCACCAGTGGCTATTACCAGTTATTTCCCTTCTAAGCCTCTCCTATGGACCAATGAGATTCCACCTCTCGTATCACTTGCATTTGCTTCAAACAAAATGGCGGCGCCAAGTCAGGACGATCTGCTCGATAATCAAGATCTATAATGTGATCAAACGGGTCTTACATCGCGAAATGCATCACGTGAGCACCTTGATTGAAAACATGACAAGATTTTGAAAATATCTGTTGACAACGAGTTGGCGTTGCACATGCTTCGCAAATCCTGCAATCGACCGAAATCTGCATGACAGTTTATGAACCGCATTTCGATTTCGTTGTGCGATATTGATTGGACTATGCAGACTCGTTAGTCCAGCCAAATTGTAACTCCATAATACCAGCCAAGTTCGGCAAGGGTGGAAACTTGACTTTTATGGTCAGTTAACTCACTTGCCTCGGGAAGATGTTTAATGCCGAGCGCGAGGCAGATTAAAAACAAGTCCAATCTGTTGATGTCTTTTGACCGGGCAGGGAATCGAACCAACAACCGTACGCTCTCCGGGCAGACGAAACCACTTAGACGGTCTTGGATGGAAGAAAGGGAATGGTAGAAATATGTAACTTTGAAATTAATCTTTCAGGATCCTAGTCCTGGACAACGGTTGTGTATGTGAGTTTGACACACCCTCCTCCCTGCTGCAACAGCCTGACAGCATCTTCTACAACATGGCCAAAGCTGCAGGGTTGATCTCGTAATGTTCAGAGAGTTGACAGAAATTGTATGTTGCAAAGAAGAGATTGTTTTAGATACAGTACGGTACTCTGTCAGTGTTTGACGTGATAGACCGAAAACCATTCCATATATTAGCTCTGAACGTGTATGGTTATTGTATAATAATACTTGGAAAGAATTAAATAATCACTTGATGTTATCAATCTTTATGGTCCTTCAGGATGTTGACATATATTAAACTACAAATACAAATTCACGTTTTGTTTCCGGGATTTCTAGGACAATACTGGTATTCCAATCATTTTTCGCACAGTCTAATAATGGTTATCCCAGCATTGTAATGCCGTGATTATGTCATTCGAAATCAGTAACACAAACATAGCACATGTCATCATTGCCAGTAAATACATTCTGGAATTCCATCTACGTGTTTTGTTGGCATATACTTTTTAATAGCAAGCATCTGCTAATGGTTTTCGTCATTTTAATGGACACAGTTATATATGTTATGTTTTGAGTGATCCCACTGGTACCCAATTTTATTATAACGTACTGCCCTTCGTCGGCAGAATTTTATACAGCTTAATATATATTGTTGATGTCAAATTTTGTTTCGTCAAGATATGGCTGAAATATTGCCGATGTGACGTTAAATCTTAACTCACTCACTCACTATTATAACGTAAGCAATAATGCAGATACCAAATCAGTCGAGGCCACCTATGATGCTGCGCCTTTAAACTGATCCAGTAAGTCACTAGATAGCACGATAACCTCCAATAATGAATGTTATCTGTACCCGTCCCCAAGTCAAGTTTCATAATGACATCACACACCAGAGCTCCGTTGTCATCGTTGAAAATTAATATGAAAAAAAAACATATTGAGGGAGTAGGCACAGTTGATCACCATAACAATGATGAAGTAAAATCATTAAAACTGATAAGTTACTTTACTAATTTAGAAAACACCCAGTTACAATAACCATATAGCCAAGGAAGTGCAAAATTGGAAAGGCATAATTTAGACCCCACCGCTGTCAAGGCAGGGGTAAGAAACCTACAGCCCTTCAAAGAGGGGTCTCTCTCGTGAGATGGACATCTTGAAAGTACATGACCCTGTGACTAATGGTAGTCCCGACACTGACCATACAGTGAAGAGGCTGTGTCCTTTTGGTCTATTTTTTAATATCTTCTTTTTTGAAACTGCTTGACACTGATTTTCCTTCTAATGATGATAGCATATTTTGTTCATATAAATATGAATTTACTGCTGGTCATTTTGTAAAAACATCATTTAAAAAAAATCAAAATTCGCCGAAAAGTAAATCTTCAGAGGAACCACAAGGATTACAAAGTTGGAACTTTGTATGACTGTAGATAGGTAGATTCAAGACTGTTCAAGGCATCGTGAATTTTTCTAGGAATGAATTTTACCAAATATTCTTAACTGATATTAACATTGGTGGTATTGCAAGTTTAATTTTTCCTTAATTGATGTTCGCTACCATAATAAGTTTAACGCCTCATCAAATAAAAACTTTTACTGATATACTATTTTTACAAAGTATACAAAAACTATTAAGAATTCAGTTATATTAAACAGCTTGTCTTCAGAAAGCATACATCCAAGAACATAGAAACATTTTGTGAGTCATAAGAAATATATATATAATGTTATTAAGTCCGAGGCCAACACGTTTATTAGATTAAGGTATTTATGTTTTTATCACTAGACTTGGTATATGACTTCATATTGGAATATGATAACTTCTTTAATGAAAAGGTGTCGGTCAAGATTCTAATAGAGGAAAGGCAGTGATGGGACATATCTACATATTCTAGTTTATGAAGGTTTGTCTCAGATACATGTATGTACAATATCCTCAAACTGTGTGTCGATGTTTGTTACCATATTTTGGTTATGTTAATAAAATACATCAACATCCAAGGTTTATCCTTTGTAAAACCCTTTGAAGAAGTCATATACAGAATCTGTGTTGAAACAACAAGTGTATATGTAGCGTAAATGTTATTGTACAGTATTTTTACAATTATTAACCGCAAGTTACACATTATTACGTCATCCAGTGATTGGATGTGTGGCAGCTGGCTATCTCTTCCACCTCCATAAGTATTTGACTAATTCGTTTCATTGATAGATTCGTTTATTCACAAGGAATCCCTCGTGCTTAGTATCGCAAAGTTGAGCAAACTGTACTTTCTGTATATACAAGTAGTCTTTTAATTCATTCCCATATTCTTTGTTTCTTATGCTACATGTTATTAGTTTCTTATTGTTCTTAAATAAATCTGTTCCCGTTATCTTTTCATAGTAAGGTTTTCCTGTACATTTACAAACAGTTATATTGAAAGATTCCGAAGAACAACTGTTTATTGTTCGAGCTATTTATATAATTACCTTACAGAATACAACCATTTTTTTCTTTAATGTACTATAGGTACAATACAAAAAAGTAACACTCTCTACAGTATTATCATCTTTGACTTGACTTGACTTCAAGACCTGAAGACATGTCCATTCCTCTTTGGTACTGGATTTCAAAACGCCATAAAACCTAATACAAAGAGAGATATATTGCTGGATCCAGCTAATGTACCACCAAATCCCAGTCTCAAAGATTAACCATAATCCTTAATACTTTCAAGGAAGGACTTCCTTTCTATTAACAGAAAGTATTTGAGGCACGTGGAATTAATACAATGTGGATTCTCAAAAACTCAAGAATCAAGAATGTTTGCAATCTCAGAAAAGAACCAAGTGCTTCTGTTTCAAATATACTTACCAACTTTGTATATCACCATCACTTGATCCTATTTGTCACTAAAAGTTAATATAGTTACATATTTATCCTCAGAGGTTCAAAAATTATAGCACATCTGAGAAAAAAATATGTAAAATGTTGGACTTCCTCATTGATAACATCAAAGAAAAGTTTGGGTTTAAGACATTTTGGCAAGAGTCAGGCAACCCTGTGGGCACCAATAGTGCTCCCCTTCTTGCTTTCTTTATGCATATGAACATGAGTCGGATTGGTGAAGTCAACGTAACGTAATTTGGCCAAGAAGTGAAACGTAAGCTTCAGACATATGGATGAAATGATATAATTAAATAACCACCAAATAGCCAATTCCCTTCCACTAACTTACCCACCTGAACTAGAAATAATGGAGACCAGTGAGACCGCCTCATGTGTTTCATGTTCAGATCTATGCATAAAGATTCAGAGTGACAAAGACTTCTTTACAAAACAGTATGACAAGAGGGGTGATTTCAACTTTCAAATATTCAACTTTCCCTTTATGGCGAGCAATATTCCTGCAGCTCTAGCGTTTGGTGCCTACATTTCACAACTTTTGAAGTACAATAGAGCATGTTCCGTCGACAAGATTTCAAAGAACGTCATACGACTGTTGCTCAGTTGTTTGATCAGGGTTACAACATTTAAGGCCTCAGTTAAGCTTTCATAAAGTTTTATGGTAGACATGTGGAGGACATTTCTAAAATTGACGCATCAGTGCCAAAAGAAATGTCCAATGCAATTCCCCATGTTGACTTTTACCGTATGTTCCCGTGTTTTCATCAGTTGAACAATTGACTCCCCTTTGCATGTGTTTGTGTCATGTCAGCCCTTCAGGTGGAATGACGTTCGATACCAAGGGCAACCATACGCATGTTAATCAACACCATGCCACCAAGATGTGTTGCATGTATCGCCAACATGGTGGACACACCAGATATTGATCTTCACGCCCGAAATTAATTTTTCAGACATTTTCACAATTATTTCTTCAGTTCCCTTATTTCATGTCGGAAGTAAAACTTGGTTATTATTTGCAAGCGACATGTGTTGGTTATTTCTACAGACAGAATAAACGAGAATGTGTCCCACTCAAAGCAACAGTGCATGCAATGATAGCCTTCAATATTTGGTCACAATTAAATATCAAAGTTTATTTATATCTCACTGTTCTTTTCATTTGCCTTTTCTTTTTTTCAGTCTAAAGACAAGAGCGGTCTGTTAACGCAACAGTGTCCTATTACATTTGTCAGACCCCCGTGGAGATTTCAGGTTAGAATATTGTCCCCAGGAACATATACTTCGTGGCCAAATGGAACAATTGTTCTTTGTTGATTGTGTGGGCCTTTGCTAAAAATATTGCAGTGTCCCAGTATTTCAGTGTTAGCCTGATGATGGGGGGAAATCAAAAGATGCAGGGTCAATCAATCAATCAGTTTATTCGGTAATAAGGCCTCAGGCCCACGTACATATATATACAAATTAGTTTCACATCAAGTGCTGCATGAAATAATATTTACAGGTAAGAAGAAAGAAGACAGATAGCATTTTTAACATAATTGGCTAAGTTCTCAAGGCGGTTTACATCAGAAGAGTTTAACATTCTAACCAGTGTGTCTTTACGATTATTATCAGTAATGAAGTCTAAATATGGGAAATATTTTGAGCGAATATCTTCATAAATAGGGCAAACAAGAATGAAATGAATTTCATTTTCAACTGCCCTTAACTTGCACAATGGACAAAACCGATGTGTCTTATCGATGCCATCCCTCCTTCCTGTGTTATGCATAATTCCCAGTTCTCCAATACGTAAAAGGGTAAGCATACGTCGCTTTTCTTTTGATAATACATTTAATAGATACGTTTCAAGTGATAATGATGCAGGGTGAAGCCAATGAAACCGAGTAACGAGTGATAAGCATTTTCAATTATGATTATCTTTTCCAAAGAAACTGTTCTTCTGTGTCAAGGAACTAACGTTACCGGTGCCAAACAGATATTTGTATTGCATCAACAATATCCTCTGTATTACTGTGGAAAGCTACGATATTCAGATTGTTCCTCAGTAAGGTTTTGCTCAATGACGTCAGTTGTGCTTGATGTAGATGGAACAGTGTACCTTAGTTCAAGGATTTGTACAATTGACAAGAGCTCATGAATGTCTATGGATAGTAATAGTCTATTTCCCCTTCAAGAGCAAGATTCTTTATCGTAAGGATTCGACCATTTTATATTCGGGGATAGGGAATTTTTTTTCGAAAAAATACATTGTACCATAAAATTCTTGAAAATAATATTTATGCCTCCGACTGCTAAAAAGTAATTTTCTGCCATATGAAAATACATTTTTGCAATTTAGTTATCAAATATGTGGTTTTGCAGCTGAAGCGGGGGAAGATCTAGTCTCCATACAAATCCCATGCAGCATGCTGGTATTACATGTTGAAGACGTCAATTTTTATTCTTTCAATCCTTCTTTGCAAATACATTTTCAGGATAAGTATCATGACATTCAGAATAAGCTAATTTTTAAACCCCTTTGTACTAGATATTCTCAAAATATCGACAGTAAGAAATTCACAATTTAATAAAAATGACGTTATTAGAAATAATCTTTTGAAGAGTATACTCCTATGAACTGTTTGTTTGTTCGAGTCTTCTTATAGCCGATATTATGTCAGCCACAGAAACTTCTTGTCCCGTAGTACATCTGCCAAATCCCGATTGTATCTGCCGTAAAAAGTGTCCAGTAAGACACGGGTTTTTTCAAGCATGGGTTCTATACTTCTCTTCTTCTTACTGACATTGCGTTTAGGCGCATTGGCGATGTAAGACAACCACTCTTCAGTGTAATCTGAAATACAATGTGCCTTTGTATGAGTTATCCTAAAGTCGGAATATGTGTATGTCAGTAGCTGAGTTGGTCTGGGGAATTATGTTGACATATCCCAAACACGTAATTATGACAATGTTATCTTTCCTTTCATACTTGTTTATATTTCATGAAACTAAGCATCGTTCATCTGCGTCACTAATCGAAATGAAACTTACGCAGCCGGAAAGAAAAAGATAAAAACTCACTTAGTTTCAAATAGTTGTACACTTTTCTCAGCCGAGCGTTTGGGTCTTGATCGTGGTCCTCTGTTCGCAAGATAAGGAATTGCTCTCTTGGAAAAACCTTCAGCCATTCTCGCATGTAAACTGAATAGCACCCTAAGAAAATAAAAGTCTGTGAAAGAAAAATGCGAATTGTAATATGCGATAACGACATCAGTTTAACTCCTCATAGCATCACCACGTCATTCAGCATTACAGATGTACACATAAGTTAATATATATCACATCTCTGAACTGTTCACTGGTCAAGAGATATTTCCTACCTGAAGTGTTCGTGCTATCTCCAGGCTGTACAGACATTGTTCCACTGTGTGGTTCTTCATGCAGGTCTCCTCGATCTGAATATCTCTTGTCACGGCTTCATGGAAATCCTCCGCTGATCTTCTGGTCCGCATCATATAGTCAGAATACAACCTGCAATGATGTGTTCTGGCATACACGCAAACGTAAATACTTTATGCATATATGTTATGTTTAGATAGTTAGCCAAATCTGTTTTACTGTCTCAATTCTTAAGTTATAATATAATACTTATTTAAATTTTAAAGGACTGATATTTGTTGAATAAATACAAACATGTCTATGTATATTGATTGCATTTGGTATGTTCATGCAGTGCAAAGTTATTTAAGTATGTTTAGGAAATGTACAGGTACCTTCAAAGTAGTACTAATTTGAAAAATAGTCAATATTTGTTTGTAGCCTTCAAATCAAAACAAGATCAAACGTTGAATTTCCACAAATATGAGATAAGTTTTCAATAGTGAGTAAGTGAGTTTAGATTTATAGTCACATCGGCAATATTTCAGCCATATCGTGACTAAATCAAGTTGTTCAGTAATAATAAATATTTATTGATTATAAAATCTGTCGACAAAGGAGAGTAAAAGTACTAGCTTATCACAGGTATAGACTTTAAACTAGTATGTAACCATAAAAATTAACTATTTCAAACGATACATCATAAAAATGGGCTAGAGATCACCAGCAACTAAAGTTAGGCCACCACACTAGGGGCAATGGGGACGTACGGTACATCTGCTTCCTGCATGGTACCCAAGCAGGATTAACACTATCCCTCTGGCCACTAAGTCTTGGGATTGTTAGAAAGTTTAAGCCCAAACATTTACAACCTACAATTATTGTACGATTAAAACCATGGATAATGAAAAATATTTTGAATGAAATGGGACTCTTAGGGGGTACAATTAATTTACGTAACTTCAACCACCTTTGAAGATTCTGTCAAAATACCATTGGATACGACCCGTAAATATCCGGGTAGTTAAGGTCTTCAGCAACCCATGCTTGCCTTAAAAGGCGACTATGCTTGTCGTAAGAGGCGACTAACGGGATCGGGTGGTCAGGCTTGCTGACTTGGTTGATAAATGTCATAGATCCCAATTGCGTGGATCGATGCTCATGATGTCAATCACTGGCTTGTCTGGTGTAGTCTCGATTAGTTACAGGCCGTGCGGCGTTAAACAACAAACAAACAAACAACCATTGTATACCCCTTCTTAGAGGTCATGTATGCCTACAGATTATGCTGTAATAAGCTGTTTGTGTGCTAATTTCATACGTAGTGACCATGACCTTTAAAGTCTTTAGATCATATGCCTGAAGGGTCAACCGTTATTCACACACCCGTTTTCAAATAAGTATAAATCCAGCCATTTCCCAAATAAAAGCGAAAAAGGCAAAAGAAATTAAAGATCTGAAATTTCTGCTTAAACAATCCTCTCTGTGATTCCGACCATATCATAAGCATGTGTTTATGAATCACTATCATATAGCGATATACCTTAACATTATTTACAATCTTTACAGCGGCCTTGAATTGTGTAAACCTGATAAAAACGGTTTTAACAAGAATGATATGACGCACTTTGAAATTTTGGTATAAAGAGCATGCTCGATTTAATCTGAAAAGTTGTGAAAGGTGGGCTGGAGCTGTTAGAATACTGCTCGAAATAAAGGAAAAGTTGACAATTGGAAGGTTGAAGTCATCTCTTGCAAACAGTCTCATGAAGAGGTTTTTTGTCACTTTGAATCTAAGCATAGATCTAAATATGAAACATACGAGGCGTTCTCACGTATCTCTTTTGTTTCTTGTTCATGTTGGTAAGTCAGTGGAAGGGAACTGGCTGTTTGAAGGTTATTGAACGACGTGCATATCAGATCATCACTATAACTGACTAAAGTTAAACGTCTTGGCCAGAATACCTTGTTTTGAAATTCAGATTCATGTGCAGAAAGAAACAGATCAGCAAGAAGGGGAGCACAATTGATGCCTATTTCTGGTCAAGATGCCTAACCCCCAAATTTTGCCAGATTTTATCAATGAGGAAGTCTCAACATTTCATATATTTTTTCTCAGTAAACTTTCCTTTTTGACAAATTGTCCTGAACCTTTGGAGACAGATTTCACTAGATCTATAGTCACCACGTATTGGTGCCTCATGGATCAAGATAATATGCCTTTCCTTAAGTTTCTCGTGTGGTGTGAACAAAGTTGTAATATCAAATATTTTGACAAAATTAAATTGTCTAAAATACATTCTGTGATTATACAGAAAAACCCTCATAGATTGTATTTAAGAATATGGTTAATCTTCGAGACAGGTGGTACAGTTGATGGACCCATCAATACATATTAATGGACTTTTCTTTAGGATTCAGCATCGGACCAAAAGTACTAATTGTACTGATGGGTTGTTTTTGCAGATTTCCTTCTCAGTAAACATACTGGTCTTTGACATGTCATTTATACCAAGTTCTTTGATAAAACAATTTACGCTGTGATGCTTAACTATAATGGTTATATTACTTGAAGCCTTGTAAAAGCTAAAATCAAACGTCTTTATAAAGAAATGTGTTATGAACAGTTTCTAAACACGTGAAAACGACACAGTGGAGATTGAGATAGCAATTATAGCTATCAAACCCTTACAAAAAAATGTAATATTATTATCCATTTTATTTGACCAATAACATACATATCTGCAGCGTAATGTATACACAGCAAGAAAAAAAGACATGCATATGGTCACATTTCAATATTCCTTTTCCTAAAACACACAATGTCTGCTTGCAGGGATCAGTAGGTCAGTCCCTGTAACTAAGCTGTTTTGAAGTCACGGCATGCATATTTGATCTGGGGATAAGTTGGTCCCTACATGAGGCTTACTTCTTTGAGAGGCATTTAGAAGTTGGAGTATTAGTAAGGAAAAGATACAAGGATGAACAACGTCTTTGTTACAGTTAGGAGCTACGTTTCGGTGTAGGTTCTAACACCGTTATCAAGCAACTGGTGTACAGAGTATGGTTGACAAATATATATACAGTTATGAGGGAAGTGGTTAAAAGCGTTCGCTCGTCACGCCAAAGACCCGGGTTCGATTCCCCACATGGGTACAGTGTGTGAAGCCCATTTCTGGTGTCCCCCGCCGTGATATTGCTGGACTATTGCTAAAAGCGGCGTAAAACCATACTCACTCACTCACTCACTCACTCCAGGTAGGAGGCAGTGTTTAGAGAGTAGAGTTATTACTGACTTCAGCAATAAACGTCATACTCTAACTCATTTACCCTACAGTATGCGACTGTTAAAAAAATAACTATGTGTCTGCAAACACAAAATATGTACCTACCTATCAGTTGGATTTCTGAAGAGGACAATGAACTTCGGATCTGTATACACGTGTCTCATGAGATGGGGTGTCAGAACCACTGGTTTCTCTAAACCTGCATTTTGTGGAATTTTTGGCCATCCTCGAAAATCACAAAAATCTTCAGGAGTTGCCTCACCTAGACGAATAGACATAGTGCGAGAGTGAGTTATATCACGGCATGTTTGCTTCATGTTGGAGGAAACCTGACGCTTAAGTGATGCAAGTCTCAGACATTTACCAGTTTGTTGAAACCCATGTATACAATGCAGACAAACCTAGAAATATAATCGTACTGCGAACAGGTAATTTTCAAATATGTCAAAATATTCATGCGTGAGTGAGTTAAAATTTACCGTCGCATCGGCATTATTTCAGCCATATAACGACTCAAATTATTCATAAAATATATTCATCAGGTATATTTACCTGTAATCATGTTGTGGTAGCCTGTGTCTGTAGTTGTATGTTTTATCCGGAGCGCAGCAGTATCGAACTTTTGTTGAAAGCAGCTGAAGTTGCATGGTGTCCGTGCTCGCATGTTATGTTCATAACCTGTGTAAATGTCAGATGATTTATAATCTACTGTTCATGGGCTGCATCGAAATCTTTTGTCATGAACAAACATGTTCTACCGCATTTTTATATTGGGTCAATAACATTGACGGTACTCTTCCCACTTTTTCCTGTATGTACCTTTTCTAATGAATTATACCAAATCAAATTAACAAAGATAACATGATAGGTGTTGGGGGTACAGGCAAATACATTATAATTTTAAACAAAAACCTCCAACAATCCCCAACGCTGAGAATTAAGTCCTATATGGTGCACATCATGTTAATTGTTATGTACCTCTCAAAAGCACTAGGTTTCCAGTCGCCCTGCAATTTAATAAAAAATGGGTAAACCCCAAGCTAAAGGCAGAAGGAGCTGAGGTCCCTCCAACATAAATATATGCTATGTGCAGTGGCACAGTAACCACATATTTGAAGCACACTTTTCAAGGCATTCGTTAGAAGTTCACTGATGTTGGGTGTCAGCAAAGGCAATCAGATGGTTACTAACAGGTAGATCATGCTGTAGATGTCTTAGGCGACCCCGGTGCCTCAGAGAGAGGATTGGAGAGTACACGCTGTCCAAACTGATAGTTTTAGTGTCTAATAGTGACAACCACACTTGCCATCTTGCTATTCCAGGTCTTGTATGTAGATCTGTTTATTTGAGATAGAGTTATGACGTCTGGGTGGTAGTAGGGTTCATTGTAGGAGAATGCAGTTAAATGCAACTGGACAGGTGTACAAAAAACTGTAAAGGGGATTAGTAAAGTCCAGTTTTTAATTCATTTCTAAGAAGATTTTGGTGCGATCGGCAGCTTTTGAACATGTTTTTTTCTTTACGTCCTTTCATGCCTTGACCAAGCCAGTGATCATTCGATCAATGCATTGCCATGGCCAGCAAGGGGATACTTCATAGGTTCAGTGATCTAGCAGCACAAGCAACAATATTGAAGCACTGTCGACAATGTTGTCCGCACAGGTGTAAAGCCAAAGTATAGGCAGAATCTGAAAATGTTGTCAGCCTGGAAGAGTTTGTCCGCTTGGTTCTATTCGCATGTGCTAATCTCTTGTACATGACAACTTCATCATCTGACTGGTAGATATGTCTACCCAGTGTCAGCTGGATTAACGAAGCGAATGACATGTGGTCACATAATACATGAGTTACCATACTATTTTCCAGAGCCAGTTACCTTTCAATATGCAATATTCACTTTCCAACCAAACCAGATGACAGTATATAAACGGCATATGGGTTGGATGATAAACCCTTATTGGTGTTGTACATATAACACTATTATATGTATATATAGGCTATGATATGTCGACCTGACAATGTGTGACCCCAAGTCCCATTTGGTGTAAAGGGCAGAATAGCTGTGAAAATTCTATGACTGGAACACTGAAAATCAATGGTGACCCCAGGTGTTCGCGAATAGGATAAGCACATCCTGTCCTACCGGTGGCACAACACTCACATAATAGCCACACAATAGTCATATAATTTACATAAAACAGTAAGTGTTTATTGCCTGACGCCGCACAACAGTACTAAAGCATATCTGACTTCGCTGCCGCATTGACATGATGACGTTTGTATCGAACACTGTTACAGAGGTGCATTGAGCAGAGCAGAAATGTACGTCACCAAGTTGAGTTTGCCCGTCTTTGATTCACATAACTAAGAGCAAGGTTAGATTTTGCATAACGCTATCAATCTTCATCTCAAGAAATACACAATTTTGCGTAAGGGGTGCAAAGTTGACTGTGAAATCTGGAGTTTCCACAGCTATTTCACACTCGTCTGCTGTTGTTTCTACGATTACTCGAAAGTCATCAAGGTACACCATACCTTTTAATTGTTGAAATATCTCCGGAATCTTAGCCGCACCAAAAGGTATCAAACATTTACGTAGAGTATCACAATCACTCAAATTCCCATTCAGTCCTAGCGACTGATAAAAGTCCTGGTCTACTGACACGCTCCTATAGGCGTTCATGAGATCTATCATGTATATCCAGTATATGGTTGTAGTGCAATCAGTTTATCTCTTGCATCTAGGTGACATCTGTTGGTGGTGCTTCCGAAACTGAAAACGCGAAGGTTTAACTCGAAATCGGTACATCTAGAACTAAATTGTCAAACCAGTAAATTACCACACAAGATCAATAAACAATCGACAAAATATTTTGAAATACACAGGATAAGGCTTACAATCATTACGACAATACAATGTTAGGGCCTCTTGCACAATAGTCACGCATAAGTCACAGTTGAAAGTTCTGGATGAGACAGGAGCTGCGGTAAATAGTGTTGGAAGCAGGCAGAAAAGTCGGTGTTTTCCGATAGGTATCCCTTCAGCATTGGGCAAAGTGTGTGTGTGAGTGAGTGGGGTTTAACGCCGCTTTTAACAGTATTCCAGTTGTATTACGGCGTGTCAGCTTAATGTGGGAGGAAATCCCAAAGTGATGCAGGTCTCAGACGTTTACCACTTCGGTGAAACCCACGAGCACGGGTATGGTGCTGACAAACCTAGAAACATAATCGGGGCGAACCGGGATTCGAACCCACAATCATAGGTTTCTGGCGTGCCTAAGCCTCCTGCAAACAGACGTGACGTAAATACAGGCACTTAATACAGGTAGACTGATAGTGAATACCTGATGACGTTTCGTATGAATTCTGAAAAATGTCGTATGGATGTTTCTTGCTGTCCTTGCGGGTGCTGTATTTTCGGAGCATCATAACTCGTTGATGTCTATTTGCCCATTTCATGATTACACACGCTATATTTGACATATCTTCTTGCCTTTTTCACCAAGCTTGATATATAGTTGGGTAAAGTTATTTTTGTCCGTCAGAGTATATAGTGGATGTTTCTGTTTGTGACTTCTGACCAATTTAAGGGTGCACGCGTTATTGGGTAAACAGTGCAAAAAGTAAGGGAAACTGGCACAATTCTGGGTCCGTGCTGAAAAGGGGCTGGAAGTTCTGCAATCTCAGAGAGGAACCAAGTTCAATTATGTGAAAACATTTGATTTTTTAAGTTTGTACACCACTATCAAGCACGACAAACCAAAGGAAGACATCAGCTCTAGATTCATGGGGGATTTGGGCGGGTAGGGCAAGTGGTCAAAAGCGCCAGGCCAGCAAGCGGCAGGTCCTGAGATCGTATCAAAATAGTGACCGGGTTGTTAATCAGCCTTGGGACCAACAATATTTACAGGTCTTTACAGTATTGTCAATACCCTTAGTGTACAGGACATGCACCCTGTGCACTCAAAAGAACCCACTCGTCGAATGGTAGATGACTAGATGGTGAAAACACGAATACGTACATTTACCCGAAACACAAGTGTCAAAACGTCTGATGTCACCCTTGGTAAGTGACTTCTTTCAAATGTACCTCTGTTCACCCAGCAGGAAATAGGTACTAGATATGTAAATTGACATATAAAAAAAACCTGGAGCGGCGCCAGGCAGCTAGGGTTGTATACTCCCCAGGGAGTTGAGAATGCAAACGGACCCACTGGTCGGGGACCAAATAAAACCGTATTAGAAAAGACACTAGTACCTGGATGTCTGCGGTATATAAATGTATATACAACAAACAAACATTTGTCACTAAACACGGTGACTAATGATATAAATCTCTCAACTTCAAATGCAAATGTCACCTGAAGTTAACCGAGAAAACAGTATGTGAAATGCTGAACTTTCACAAGAAGAACAAGAAGTTGTTCAGGTATATCGTTCTAGAATGGCGAAATAGCCAATTACCTTCCACTGATTTACCCACCTGAACAAGAAATAATGTTAATACCAAGTATTAGATCAAAGATAACTGTTGATGACAAATACTATGCAAGATCGTTGATGTCTGTAACACATAACTTTCCGATTCACTTTGCACATCTTTGACAGGCGTGGTCGTGTCTTGCTACGTCGAAATAAACGTCAAGCTAATGTCAACCTCATGACACAATTGCAGGCGGATGATGCATTCCCAATTCTTTCATTATTACCATACAACAGTTACAAGGAACTAATATATTTTACAATTCTGAAAATTTTAAGTTATCTCCGTGCAGACCATTTGTGTTATTTAAAATATACTGGCCCAAAAAAGAAACGCATAGCTGAAATCTGGTTTTTTTAAAACTTGACTGTTATTAAAGATGAAGGCTTGAACTCAATGTAAATGCCATTGCTAACTGGGAATATTGACCTTACACTAATTTATTGCACCCGAACACAACATTTGGTGACTTGTCGCCAAAATACAGCATCTTGAAACCAAACTGATAGAAATTGCATGGAGAAAAAGCTGTAAGCATGCTGCACGTGCAAATACGGCTTATTAACCTTTATACCGATGGGTATAAAAATTTGGCAGTCCTGCTGCGAATCACTCTCCGATGTTCTGTATACGTGACTCTCATGATGCCAAGACTGAATGAAGACTGTAGAAACAGAGCCATTGGACGTCATAAGTAGCCAGGCACTTTAACGTGAGGCAGAGTACCATTTTTCGTATGTGGCAGTGCTACAGACTCCACAACTCTACAAGAGATCGACCGAGAATAGGAAGACCCAGGGTCACAACTGCGGCGCAGGACCGCTTCATCCGGGTGTTGCATCTTCGCAACCGGACAATCAGTGCAGCATACACAGCCAACAATGTTCCTGGTCTTCGTAGAGTCTCAGCGCAAACCTTCAGAAATCGTCTAAGACAGCATGGGATACGGCCAATGAGACCATATACAGCGCCGATTCTGCGGCAACATCATCGTCGTGCACGTCTGCAATGGAGCAGAAATGTTCTACCATGGACCCTAGTGCACCGGAGAAGGATATGGTTCAGTGATGAGTCGCGGTTCATGCTGTATCGCCATGATGGCAGGATGCATGTCTACAGACGGAGAAATGAACGCTACACTCGACACTCTATTCATGAAGACGAGCGATACGGCGGTGGAAGTGTCATGATGTGGGCAGGCATATCCGTGATTGGTAGGCCAGATCTGGTGCACGTGCAGGGAAATTTAACTGCTGTAAGCTACCGTGATGAAATCCTTCAACGTCATCTTTTTCCCGCCATTGACGTCAGCAGAGATTTTCCAGCAAGACCGCATACTGCAGGTGTTACCATGAATTATCTTGCCCACAACAATGTTATTGTGCTGCCATGGCCCTCCAAATCGCCTGATCTAAACCTCATCAAACATTTGTGGGGTCTGCTAGACAGACGTGTACGACGCCGACAATCTCAACCACAGACGCTTCAACAGCTGAACCATACATTGCAGGATGAGTGGAGAAGGATTCCACAACAGATTCGACGACTCATACAGTCCATGTCCAGACGGTGCAGAGCTGTGATCGATGCTCGTGGTGGTAACACCCGGTACTGACTTTGGCACAGTGCCATCACAGACACAGACGTCCCTTGGAACATTAAAAGACTGTTTGTGGTGTAAGAAACATGTACCTCATCCTGTGTAAAATTTGGTTGTTGTATCTTCATTATTTATTGTGTAATCCTATTTCATTAAGCATGTAATGAAACACTGATTATTCTGTTGTGCGTTTCTTTTTTTTGGCCAGTGTATTTTCAAATTAAGTCGTCGTAACCGTGACCCTTTGGGTCCTCGCCTATACCAGCATTTGTCTGAGAGGTATGTCTATAGTGAAACAAATAAATTGTAAAGACCGATCCTACTGGTTTATATGTACCAATACACTTTGATCATCAGTGTTCTTAAAACCCTTGTCAATCATTCACCCATCCACACACAGAAGTATTAATATAATGCTTGCATTACCATATCTGCTACGGCACCAGTAAAAGATTTCCTTCTGACTGAAACAATCATTGCATCCGAGGACGTCTTCATGGGCCCTTAAGCGGTAGGCGAGGTCTGTGGTTCCCGCCTTGCACACACCCAGAATATGGTAGTAAGGGATGCACTTGAGACGTAACTTCCCTTCCTCTTTCGCGTACCAGCAGGGGTTCTTAAATTCCGGCAGATATTTGGGTCTCTCCTATGATTTAAAACAGAGCATTACAAAAGGCTGATCATTCATGTGTTTATTTTCAATTGGTAACTTTAAAGTCATCATGGGTGCTGTCAAACCATATGCCAGTAAATGGGCCAAAATAGAAGAGGAACCTGTTGAATGTCTTCAAGTGTGGGTTTAGGGAAATGTTAGAATGATCTTGTAAATGTCAGAATGCACAAACTGAAAAAGAAGAAACAGAATTGGAATAAACCCATTCTGTCCCAGCTAGCTGTTATACAAAGTCTGGCTGCCCTACACGGAATCTTTGTGGTTGTTGCCACTGACAAGAACTGAAATAGCATGACCATCATATGTAAACATCACAACATGAATCGTTTGATCAAACAACTCGACATACGTGACATATCAAACAAGCATGAAATATTCATACTAGTATCCCCCGCCAATATGACATGCAATGCATTAGCTCCTGTAAACTATGTTCACTGGGCCTTTTTGTAAATGGCCTAATTGCAGCACTAAAAAATGTTATTACTGGTGTTGTTGAGCCATCTGCAGTTTTTGATAGAATATGTAAGTGTATTTGTAATGAGTAAGGATGAGACATATGGACCAACGACTTCTTTATTACAATTAGGAGCGATATCGATGGTCTCGGTGTAGATTCTAACACCGTTCTCGAGCAAGTACAGAGTATAGTTGACAACAATATATACAGGATAGGAGGCAGTGTTTATACAATTGAGTAGGTTTAAGATCAGTTACACTGTTGTATTTGTAATTAGTTTGTTTCTGCATGAAGTTAGTCAGTGAATGCAACAACCGTGCCCATGACACTTTTGGAGGAACATACACACAAGCGATGCAGAACTTACCAACAAGAAAGGAAATGTATTCAATACTGCGAGATGACATTATGTGCCAAGTTTGGTGAGGAATTAGTCAAAGTCGTTGCCATGGAAACTCGAATTGTTTTATTTTTTTTAATCCCAAACTATCAAAAGGCACCAGTTCACCACTAGACCTATCTATGTGCCAAGTTTGGTGAAGACATATGGTACTGTTTTCAAGATCTGCTCCGGAAAAGAGGACCACCGCCATTTTCAGTCTAAGTCAAAGTCGTTGCCATGGAAACTCGAAATGGTTTTCTAAAATCCCAAACTATCAAAAGGCACCAGTTCACCACTAGACCTATCTATGTGCCAAGTTTGGTGAAGACATATGGTACTGTTTTCAAGATCTGCTCCGGAAAAGAGGACCACGGCCATTTTCAGTCTAAGTCAAAGTCGTTGCCATGGAAACTCGAAATGGTTTTCTAAAATCCCAAACTATCAAAAGGCACCAGTTCACCACTAGACCTATCTATGTGCCAAGTTTGGTGAAGACATATGGTACTGTTTTCAAGATCTGCTCCGGAAAAGAGGACCACGGCCATTTTCAGTCTAAGTCAAAGTCGTTGCCATGGAAACTCGAAATGGTTTTCTAAAATCCCAAACTATCAAAAGGCACCAGTTTACCACTAGACCTATCTATGTGCCAAGTTTGGTGAAGAAATATTGTACTGTTTTCAAGATCTTCTCTGGAAACGAAATGTGACGGACGGACGGCATCCATTCCTATTTCCCCTTCCACTTTGCTGCGGGGGATGATAATGCCACATTTAAGGCCTGTATGTTAACTGAGAGAGAAACCTGACAAAACCATGCACCAGTACTATAATCGTTTGCTTGACTCTAAACACTGACGATAAGTCCATTCCTCTTTTGTACTGGATTCCAAAGCTCTACAAAAAACACACGCATATGTACCAACTCCCTGTCTCAAAGGAAGGACAAAGGAAGTGGAATTAATACCATATGGAGTCTCAAAAGCTCCCAGGATTTGTTTTAATTTTTGAAATCTCAGAGGAGAACCAAGTTCAATTCTGTCAAAAACGCCTGAGTTTCAACTTTGTACACCACTATCCAACATAACACACTTAAGGAAACACTTCATGCCTTGATCCATGGGGCAGTTGTTACTAAACATGGGGATGATAGATATATTGTTACATATCTGTCTTCAAGGGTTCAGGACAATTTGTCAGGAATTAAAGCAAATGTCATCGGGAAGTTTACTGAGAAAACAATATGTGAAATGTTGAACTTTCTCATTGATAACATCTGTGTCATGATTTGGGAGCAAGACATTCAGGCAATAAGTTGGCATCTGCATGGGCACCAACTAGGATCCCCTTCGTGCAGACAAGAGGGGTCACTTCTTCTTTTCAATAGTCAACTATCCCTATATATATTTCATTATTCAAGCAGTCTAGCCTAACATACGACTTCTGGTGAATTTGAAAAGAATTGTGTATGGTAACAAATATGTGAAACCATCATTGCATTTGATTATATTTCATTTAGACAATAACAGCCAAAGCGAACGAGGTAAGTTTTAGCTTGACCAGTGTGATATTTTTAGACACGGACATTCTGTTCAGTTATAGGAAAAAAGGATGAAGATTTTACATCTAAATGTCGTTTTGGAAATTTAAGATAGTAATTATCATGGAAAAAGGCATAAAGCACCTCTTGTAAAATACTAGATAGCGTTTGATTAGTGAACACACAATTCTTTATCATGAATCTCCTCAATAGAAACTTATGATATATTTTCTCCAGGTGGTTGTAGCAACGAAGCAAACTCTTTACATACCATACAGAACAGATCTTCTGCCTCATGTGGCCCTGCTCCCACACACTGAATGTCAAGTTTCACTGATGTGCCGTTTACTCTGTTTGCTTCTGGTACATATCCATGTGTAAGCATGTGTGGGCTGATTACACGGTCCATTCGACTGCCATACCGTGTCACAAGATACAATGAAACACACAGACCCAGCATCAATAACACCCATCGTCTTGATTCCAACCTCATCGTGACTTGCTGGAAAGAGATACATGTTGTGAATTTACTAATATGTCGAAATATGTTTCCCCACCTACGATACTAGTACTAGGGGGCAACGTTAATATTATATAACCGGATACAGACGTTGTGGGTAAAGGTTCACTTTAGGCAACATTTCCGACCGGATGGTTAACACATTATTTGTATTATCACTCTTTGTTAGTGATAGCTAAATGAGGCGAACCGGATCATTCACTCAACATTCATATTACACAGCATGTACAAAGCTAAATGAGGCGAACCGGATCGTTAACTCAACATTTATATTTCACAGCATGTACAAAGCTAAATGAGGCGAACAGGGTCATTTACTCAACATTTATATTACACAGCATGTACAGAGCTAAATGAGGCGAACAGGGTCATTTACTCAACATTTATATTACACAGCATGTACAGAGCTAAATGAGGCGAACAGGGTCATTTACTCAACATTTATATTACACAGCATGTACAGAGCTAAATGAGGCGAACAGGGTCATTTACTCAACATTTATATTACACAGCATGTAAAAAGCTAAATGAGGCGAACCGGATCGTTCACTCAACATTTAATTACACAGCATGTACAAAGCTAAATGAAGCGAACCGGATCATTCACTCAACATTCATATTACACAGCGTGTATATAGCTAAATGAGGCGAACCGGATCATTCACTCAACATTCATATTACACAGCGTGTACAGAGCTAAATGAGGCGAACCAGAACATTCACTGATCATGCAGATTATGTAGTCGTTTAAGTAAAAATATAATAAGAGAGTGATGTACATACTTCCAAATAGTATATAACAATGTGACATGGAACTTTTTATTTATGGTTTTAATACACATTGTGTTGTTCTTTTGTTACCCATTCCACGCGCATCCTGAAATATTAACTAGCTAGATAGTGATCAATATGATGTGAACTCCAATGTCAGCATTCAATAACGGATTTTCAAAAGGTGAAGTTATGAATCACTAACTGTCAAGAACACCGTCTGCTGTGAATGATAGAGATGCATGATCGATACAGGTCATCGGATGTCTAGGCGTTCCAAGCAGTGCTTGTCAATACATCTATTACATGGAACATGTTATATTGACAGATTTATCAATATGATTTGAACTGAAATGTCAGCATTAATAAAGGGGAATTAACCTAAAGCAATTCCCCGGGACTGGTTGTTGCCTTTGTTATTGTTTTTTTCCCCCGTGAGTACCCGGATGATACGCAACGCAACTGAGCGTGACAAGAGACTGGGCTACCGTCTGCAAGGACAGCTAAATAAACTTGGAGGCAATATTTGTTTTACGCATTTTGGATCACTGATTGGTTGACCGTGATCTATAAAGATTTCCAAAAAGGGCGCATGTTAATTAATTTCTTCAGCCTTAACAAACAGACAAAAAGAACGGCGGAGCTCATCGGTTGTCGTCATTTGGAAATACCCCTGATTGTTATAGTTTAAAAAAAAGTATCAATGCAGTGAAAGCATTTTCGGATTTCGGATTGCGTCGACAATACGATTACTACTCCCTTGTTGTCATCCACGTTGTCTGGTATAACCCTACACTTGTGTATTTGTCGTCATTCACTTGATGCTCAGTTAATGAATTCATTTTATGCTTGTCTGCCCATGTTACAGATATTTAAGAAATAATTATTTACCTATTTATTACTCTTCCAATCCTACTCTATTTAAATATAATACACTATTGTCTTGTAACCGCACTAGTATTGTAACTAATTGTGTTAAGTATATACTGGAAGCACTTGCAATCCGAAATACTGTCACTTAAAACCCTCTGTCATCTGCCTCATACTGTATTTTTCAATGAGTATTTGTACGTGGGCCTATGGCCTTTATACTGAAATAAAGAATTGAATTTGCAGTAGTATGGGACAGATTCATTCTTGTTCCTTTACGT